TAATATTTTTTCCCACTTGATACCCTAGTACTTACAAGCTTATTTTGTTAGGTACTGTGGAACTGTCAACAAGAAAAACTTTTTAAAACTCTAAGAGATGACGCAAATTTGCAAATTGTGCATATTAATAGCGTATATTTGTTTTTTCAATCAAACCAACGTTTACGGCCCTTACAGGGTCTCATAGACACGGTTGACTGAGGTGGTAATGTCATCAACCAGTTATGTCTAATATTAATGCAAACCACCCTATTTCTTCACTATAGTTACAAAAGTTATTAATTAAATACCTTATTTTTAATTTTACATTTTAATTTTTTTCCTAAATAATCTTATTTTTATTGTCTATGAGAATACCCTATAGTAAAAAGTCATTAAGTGAAAAGTTACAATTTTTAAGTGAGCATATTATTATTAATTACTGGTGTCGTAAGATATGTAAATGGTATGTGTGTATCCCACGATACAGAATTGCCTAGTGTATGGGCCGTAGTAAATATTAAGTAGTAAACATTTTCTGTCAAATATATTTTATATTATTTGAGGCATTTGGATTTCTGAGGCGCAGTCGCTTCCAGCACAAATGCATAAATCCGTGCTGATCAATATGTATCGTTCGTCGGTTCCAGAACCTGAATCCCCGACCCCGGTCGACTGTGCCATTGCTAAGCAATACCGCCTCATTTAAAAATTCAAACTTTTATCTTTAGTGAGACGACTTATATTCGAAATAATAATACAATTTTGACATTTTTTCCCTGGACATCTTGAACTGACTTGTTGGGGAGTCACCACACTTATTGACATGGAATCACATTAAGGGCGGTCAGAAAAAGCTTTATGTCAATGTGGTAAAACCAAATAAGAAGTGCGTTCCGCTTCGGTGGCTCGAGCGGAAGCGAAACTCGCAACTACTTTTTTGGCTATAGTTCACCAAGGCCCAATGCTATTTAGAGATCGAAGAAATTGGACATTGACCGAAACGCAATCTTCCTTAAAAATGAGTTCCTATACCGTTAAAACGAGGGTTGCCGCAGACGTCTGTGACATCCGCATATTTTTTAATATATGCATCCGCATTCGACATTCGCATCAATCGATGCATCGATTATTATCAGAACCGATGTCGCCAAAACTCACACATTCTTAATTTCAAATACTACAAATCGTGATAGTGACTAATAGTAGCTTCAAATTTAAAAATAAATAAATTCTGGATTGTTAATATAATTTAAACTTTATCGTGTTGGCATATTGTTGAAAGTTCAGTAGCATAGATAACTATTATTGCAAGTTCTGATATTAATTTGATATTTCTATCTATGTGCTGCCATCTAGCGGTTAATTGCTGAACGACGACGAATTGTAGTTATTTATTTAGTTCTCCAAAAAGAAGCGACCATATTGCAGGGATATAAGCTTTACTCGTTTCTTGTAACAAATAAATTATTTCGATAAACAGAAAATTGAACATTTATTACAATAGGGCTTACCAATGATATGAATGGTAATATGTTGGGTGCGGCTATCATTTTTGCACTCCATATTTGACAGGTCCTTTGGTCAACCGTGACCATGGGACCTGTAAAGTGCCCGAAACGTGGGTTTGTTTGAAGAAACAAATACACGCGATTTAAATCCGGAAAGATAGTTTCATTTCTTATAAAACCAATTTTTTCACATATCCCCATCTGTAGATTTGAAGGTGAAAACATTCTCATCCGCGTCCGCGTCTGAATTTTTTTATAATATGAAGTGACGGGACGAATAAGTCGTGCGCCTGAGGTAAGCTACAAACCTGTCCATAAAAGTTGCAGTGCCACTCAGAGCTTTAAATCGCTTAGATCTGAGGGACACTTTCACTGCGCCCGTCACCCTGAGACATAAGTTGACAAGTCCCATGTGCCTGTAATTTCACCAGCACCCTTACCCGTCAGAACCGGAAGAGTAATGCTGAAATAACTACTTGTTGGCAGAAATAGATGAGGTGACAGTACTACCCCAGACGAACTCTTTCACAAGAAGCTCTACTGCTACTCCAAAAAATGTCGGCATCTCTGTTTAAAACACTCCATGTAAAATGAGTTAATTTTCGTTCCATAAAACTCGGTCAAATATTAGAGCAGTTATCACAAAACATTAATATTTTGTTTGTCAGTCATACGTGTAATAATAATTACTTTCGTTTGTGTCAATATTATGATTATCGGCTTTCAATATTTCGACAATAGATGGATAATATTTTATCTGCATAATAACCGTTATAACGATTTGAGGTTCAGTGGAGTAGATAACTCATGTTGGATACACTCGTGTTGATTGCTGTTGTTGCGAGTTACGATGTACGTGTAAGTGATTAGAATCGTGATATGAAAGTTTGGGTTGTGGGGCGTTTCGCTTACATGGGGTAATTTGGAACAGGTATTAATATCAGTCGCATTGGAATGTTTGTCGGGTGGCAAATAGTCCTAGTTTACCGATGCGTTGTACAATTCAAATTTTATATTCAATTGGTTTAATAATTTTTTATTCTCCGTAAAATCTGATGGAATAGAACTCACGTTGAGTTTTTCCTTTTTTGTTACAAATTTCCGAAACCGCTAAATAATCCATTAGTTCATATAGATAATTTAAAAATATAGTCAATGATATTGGTACAGAGTACTCAAAAACCGACCACAAATGTTTGTGGGATTTCATCTATTTGTCAAGTTTTATTGAAATCAGTTAACGGAAAGTGCACGTAACCCGATTCATCCCCTAGTCTGCCACCCTTAGATATTTTCTTCAAATTTAAATGGGACCAATAGATAGATAGATAAAAAGTTTATTGTCTTGCATCACACACACAACAATATAATACATTGATTAAAAGAGACACACAGAAATCAAAATTAAAGAAAAAAAATTAAAAAAGAAAATATAAAAACATAATACTAACCTAATGATCAAGAACTTGTGCGTGCTAAAGCAAGCCAAATAGGTCGTGGCTCAGTGCACAATTTTCCCAACAGCAAAGCACTGATTTTCAGCCACCACCTTCGAGGTTCGCGTTGCGGTGCATCAAAAGCAAAAACATTGTGAGGTGAATGTAGTGTGCATATGTGTTAGCATCACGTGAGTATTATATACATTATAAAAATATTAAAAAAAGAAAAAAAAATAGTAACTGTAAAAATAATTCAGAAAAAAATTGTAACACAAATTCATAATTGATATAATTAAAATAAAATAATAATAATTAGTACTTACTAGCGATGAAAGTCATTATAACATAAACATGATAATAAATGTCTATGAAGTTAAGGGACTTCTAGAAGCCTCCGCGATGTAAAGCGTTTAGGAATACCCAGTTTTTGCCTATCAAAAATAAATTCCCTCAAATGTTTTTCAAACGTAAACTTAGTTTTAACCAATACTGAGGTACCGTCTGTCCAACAGAAAAAGAATCATCAAAATCGATTCACAAATGCCGGAGTAATCGCGTAACGTACACACAAAAAAACAAAAAATACAGTCGAATTGATGACCTACTCCTTTTTTTTAAAGTCGCTTGAAAATATGGTCAAAAAGGAACATCATTTACGTTCTTTTATTGATTTGGAATTGTTTTCCCGGAACTTTTGAAACATTACAAAACAACACTTCGGTTTGACTGCGTGGATAGATCCCAACCTTGAGAGTAATAACAACACATCTGCAAAATAACAACTTTTCAGGAGATAGGCTGAATGATTCTGCGAACGAAATTAACCGATAACTTTTTATAGGAAATGATGCTATTGTTTTCGGAACTAAATCGTGTATATTTGTTTTTTCAAACAAACAAATTAGCCGTGACCACGGGACCTGTAAAGTACCTGAAACGTTGGTTAGTTTGAAACGAACGTGATTTAGATCTGAAAACAATACTTTCATTTCCAACGTGTAACAATAGCAAAAAAACAAGAACTTTTATGCTTAAGTACGAGAGTTTTAAAATTTCACATATCCGTAATTTGTTAAATTTAGTTCCTATCTATTATTATTAAGATTTTCATGTAATAAAAGTACTTTTAAAATATTGATCATATCGACACCGACGAATTGAAAGGCAAAATGGGATAAGCGAGACTTTTGATTATATTGAGTTATGTATGCCGTTGGAATCTGCTAATGTTTCTGATTTTTTTTTTTAATTTATTTATCTTGTCAATTACATTTTTTTACAAATAATATAATGTTCTCGCAAACTTCATAAAAGTTTATCGGGAGAGTTTGGTTGCTACGCTTACATTACAATCACATAACATTTCATTCTGTTACTCAATTACAGCTCTCTAAATTACTACAATGTATCTAACAAATATTTCTTTAATTCTTTTTCTATGTAACTTTTATTACCTTGCAAACATTTTAAGTGTGAAGGAAGATCATTAAATAATGTTGGAATTAAATAGTCCTTCGTCCTTTTTCCATACACATTGTTTGTTTTAAAAATCTCGTACCTGCCCACCGCTGCTTTGATTCCAACGATATATAACTCAATATGACCCAAAAGTGTCGCTTATCCCATTTTGCCTTTCAAGCGTCGATATTATAATGTCACATCTAGAAAACTCGGACCCACTTCGAATGTCGTTTGTGCACTAAGCCCGATTCGAATCCGAGAAAAAACGAATATCGCTTTTACACCTACAGATAAAATGATCCCTGTGACATTTCGGACCGTCACTTCTCGGATTCCGAACTGGGGGTCTACTCTCGATCTCCGTCCGACATCCATCCGAAACAATTACTGTCAAACAAGTAATATTCGACAAAATTAAAAGACAAGTATCAAGTATGAAGCTTCATTCGCATCACGCGTCTTTTCATTTGGTCAAGTATTGCTTATTTGGCAGTAATTGTTTCGGACGGAAATCGAGAGTAGACCTCCTGGTGCGAACCGGACGTAGTGTGAAAACGATCTAGGGTACATGATGACTGTGTTTAAGTTTTTTCTTGTTTTTACTCGACAGGGTGTCGGCGTGCCTTATCTCAATGCTGTTGATAGTCTACGGTAGCTTCCGTTCACTGAACATGGAGCGCGAGGCGCGGGAGCGAGCAGAACGCGAAAGAGAAGCGTCGTTGTTAGGAGGGAACAAGCTGCCGCCCACCGCGCCCATTACTACTAGTGAGTTTATAGACTGATAAGGAACGTTGACAATGGTGAGTGACAGTAATATATACTCACGCACTGACAATATGACAACGACTGTTTCTCTTCACAAGTGAACAGGTTAGCTTATTCTTACGGTGGAAATAAAAAATAATAAATATAATTTTGCTTTGGGAAAATGCCGTCGATGTTAATAGAACCTTCGTTCTACACTGCCATCGGAACAAAGAAAGGCACAAGCGGCAAATTTGATTCAGCGATAAATGAGTTTATTTTTACTTTTCTGGTTAAAATATTTTTTTTTTACACTAAAAGTACTTTATTTGTGTTAAATATATTTAAGACACATTTTGTACAGAAATTTTCATTGTACGTAACTGGCTATTTTAGATTAACCTTAATTTTCCGTTTAACTTACTATTACAGCAAGGGGCATAACTTAAATGTGACTTGAAATACTTGACTTATATTATATGTAATAAATAGAAGTAAAAGTTGCCATTATAATTACTTGTGCCTTTTTTGTGTTATATAGGAAGTAGTTATTGTAATGAACTACGTAATAAGGGCACACCGCATTACTAAGTACACTAATATCAAAAGTGTTCGTAAAATATGAATAAATATATCTTTTTGTAGTAGAAAATCTGCCTTTTGAACTTAACTGTATATCCAACAATTATTGAGATATATTTCTACAAAAAAAGGATAGACTTTTTCTCTGATATCGAATATATGTTAGTTATGCCTTTTCTCGTTAAGAGGGCAGTACAGCATGCTGTTTGGGCAATTTGCTGTACGATTGAACAGAGTCGCCAACACTCGAACAACCGCGTCGAGATGCCAAAACGGCCAGGTCCGAACGTCCGCGTTGACGGCGAATTGGCTGAATGCGACAAGTGTGATATGTGACGCTTTTAGGATATCTAGTCGTGTAATGGTACGCGAGACGCCTTTCATTCTATCAGAGTATGCCTTCGATTTTAACTAACGATAAACGAACAAAATACTGGACTAAGATCAACCATGTGCCTAACTTACGTCAGCAACCAACCTTTAGGAGTTTATTCATGATTTGAGTCATAGTTTTTTAAATTTTTTAATTGTTAAAACAATTAAAAAATTAAAAAAACTAAGGTCTTTAAGAAACTAAGGTAGGGTCTAAAGACCCTAGTTGCATTTAAGCCCGCCTAGGATGTTAGGGACAAGGTAGTGGCTGAAAAACAGCGCTGTCTGCGACAACAACGGCCTCTTGCCGTCTGACATGTGTGGCGTACCATTATATTGTTTTTTTATTTGTGTCCAAAAAGTGTCATTGTGCAATAAAGAATGCTTGTATTTGTAATATCTAGCAACAGTTACATTGTAATGTGAACGACAAAGTAAACCGACCGACCCTACGCTGTGAACTAAACTATAATAACGAGAGTTCAAATTAATTATTAATAATTGTCAATGTAGTAGTAAAAACCAATCTATTCTATCTTCGACAGATATCCAAACACTAAACACAATGCAGGCGCTCTGCTTCCCCCTCGGTTCCTCGGTGGCTCTCCTAGTGATGTTCTTCTTCTTCGATTCCATGCAGACCTTCGTCGCGATCTGTACAGCAAGTAAGTGACATTCAATCTGGCTAATTAACTACAAAGCGAAGAGAAGAAGACCTGTGTTTCAGCGACTATGGCATTTCGTTATTTCGATTAAGCAGCGTGGATTCGTCAAAATAGCGATATTTTATTGGTTGTTGAAATACAGCTGTTCTCCGTTCCACTTTGGTAGATAATGGGGCTTGAACCTTGTTTTTGCATTAGAAAAGCGAGTGGTATAATGGAAATTGAAGATACAAACTAGTGACTACTTTATTCAGGTACGTTGAAATAAATGAGCGTGGCTTGTTAAAAATATCTGTAAATGAATAGAACAATTGTAAACAATTCTATTCATATATTTTACTGAAGAATATATTGCCGCTAATCTCACAATACCATATAGAAAAAAGCACTGGACTCATACAAAATTGGCTTAGCTTATTTGAGTGATTTTGGTCTTCTAAATGAAAAAACCACGATACAGGATACTTCATAACAAAGGAGAAATCAACAGACTAACCGTGTAAGGCTAAAGACGGCCCGGTGCCATTAACATTTTGCATTTCATTCAGTGTTACTGTTTAGACAACTGTTTTTACTAATGATTTGTCAAAATTTTGGCAGTGTTGTCCTTTGAACAACTATTTTTAGTGTCAAACTTGCAGTGTTGCCGCTTAAACGTCCGTTTGCACTACCGTTCTGTCACGGCTTTTCACAGTATTACCATTTTAACGTATGTTTCTACTATCGATTCACCAAACTTTTGCCAGTGTTATCATTTAAAGGTCTTTTTCTAGTATTGATCTATCAAAGTAATGACAGCGGTACCGTTTAAATTTAATTTAAATTTTAATTACATCGCTGTTTATACTAATTATCTGTCGTACTTTTTATAGCATTGCCATTTAAATCACCCGGAATATCACACCACCGGGCCGTATTTCGCCTTGTAAGGTAGTAGACTTCCCTTTGAATATAGGCTAACGTGGCAGTGAAGGCTTTCGACTACAATTGTTATTATTTATAATTGGCTGACCTTGCTAACAAGGTCTTGTTTTTAATTTGGTCGTAACGGTATTTTATTTTTGGGTGTTTCCAGGTTAAATTTGAAATGGTGAGATTCTTTATTTATACATTCATACTATAATTCTCAATGTCCGTATTCTTGTTGTTCAAAGAACAGACAAAAATTCGTTTGTGACGATTTCTATGTTTTTTCTCTTATTTTAGACATAAGTTTTCAAAAACAATAATGGCCACCCTGTTGTCGTTCTATTTTATGGGTTCGAATTTTTTAGTATGGTTCTTACATAAGCTTTGAAATGATTAAACTTGTATGAGAGTGGTGATGAATACATACAGCACATGTTATAAGTCACCTGTATACCAGAATTGCTGTGATGTAATAATTGAATGTTGTGATATATGGTGATGTAATAATTTAATGTAATTAAATTGTGTGATTTACGAGCTTTGCCATCTGACGCTGCTGTGCTCTTGCAGAGGGTCACATGTATACAAACAATTACTTGGTACTTGGTGTAACGGGCTAGTGTCCGCAACTCAACGTCGAGGCGCCTATACAAACAATTAATGTTCCATCTGAAATTTGTAATGTGATATGCAATAAACATTTGAATTTCATTGAATTGTTTCTCAAGTAGCCATTGTAATAGCATTTGCGCTTGAAATATTGAGACGCGAATTATACTACAATTTTTTTAGGATGATCCCTGTGACACTTTGTCATAGGGATGAGGTAATGTCGATCGATTTTTGGTTTGATTTTTGAAGCAAAGGTTCTCTCTTATACAGCCTTGTATAATATTACGGTTTTAAAAAAATTGAGTTTTTAAAATAATTAATTCCCGTGTGTTCCTATATTAGTAATCCGATATTTCTATGGAGTAGGTACTGGAGAAGAAACAAATTAAATGCAGTTTTTGTTTATGATTCAGTAGCCATCGCCAGCGATAAGCGAATAATAATAATAATTGCATATACAACCAATTATAGCGTCCTAAAATCTATGAAATTGTTCAAGAATACTTTTGACGTTGATCTTGACATGTATGTGTCAATTTAATTTATTTCGAGTGCTGACACCTTGTATGTGCCACGTATTTTTTATTGTTCCCTACTATGTTTTCTGTTATAGATATTTGTTTATATTATAGATTAAACTCGTGTAACGCACTGTATATTTATTCATTAAATCATCATCATCATCAATCAAGACTTTTTATCGATATACCTCATCTCTAGCAAATGCAGTCTAATGAAGTAACCTTTGTGCGTTGTCGTAAAGATAAATTCATTTTTGAAAAAAATATTGCTTCGCTGCTCATTTCTCACTAGTCTCACTTTTACTTTAATTTTATGTATTTGCTTAAAGTAATTTTATTCACTTAAAAACGAGACTTATATAACAATTGTTTATGAAATAAATCATAAATTAGTGGACGTCCTTACAAGGTTATATTATGTAGAATTTTGTGAAGTGTGACAGGGATCGTCCTCGAAAATTTGTAGTATAGCTACTCAGAAGTATTTTCTTATCCGTTTAATAATAAATTTCTTTCAGCTAACGTAGGTCCACTGTTATGGCGCGTTTACACTAGGCCAATGCGTCACCTTCGCTGGTCCGCCCAAGGCGGCAGCCTACCCAGTAAACACTGAGAAGTTTGACGACTTTAGTACGTTGCCGAAGTTGACCGAATCGACTAGGTGTAATCATTGTCATGCGACTTGGTCGCCTCCTGCAATCGACCGACGTCCAAACAAGTTGTCGGCGGCCGCGTCTGACCACGACACACGTGCTGGGGGCCAAAGAATACCTACCTACCTGATCAGTTTGTTACATTTCGAACGATTTGTTGTGCCTCTGTCCAGAACTTTCAGGCGGCAGTCGATTGCGTCTTCTTCGGCAAGGCGAAGTAGTCTGCCGAAGACGTTATCGACCCTGTGTAAACACGCCATTGATAATACAGAAAATTGATAAGTTTAAACTAGCATAGTAGATACTATGCTAGTTTAGACTTTTAACTACTTATGAATTATATTGCACACCTGCCTGAGGTGTACTTGAGGCTATCAGCGCAAAAATGGTGTGCCGTGCATTGCATATAGAAGATGATTTAAAATTAGCCAAATTAATTGTATAGTAATCGTATATGAGTAATATGGCATAATAAGGCCTCCAAATACATGCTGCTCAAAACAATTAGGGGAACAAAACTTTAAAGTAGAACTAAACTTTTTGCTTAAGGTTTTAATTATAACTGGCCACTAAATAATGTAGAGGCAAGAGTCTTTATATACCTAAAAATAAAGTGACGTCATTGAATTTTCTTTACTTTCTAATCACAGAAAACACATTTTGAGTTGTTTTCACGTCTTTGGAGTACTAATAGATAATAAGTATTTTAGTATCATTTAAAGTAATTTTGTAGAAAAAAAAGTTCAATGTGGCTTACACCACTTTTGCGCTGATAGCCTCATTTGTATAGAAGATACGTACTGGGTTGTCACAGCAGCACGCCAAAGCTTTTTTTTATTGGATTTTGTCATTAAAACGACGAAATGTTGGTTGTAATATGGTATTATAATTTTCGGCCTTTGAAAACCACGTTGTAACAGTAACCGTCATCTCCACAGTAATAGCGTGCGCAGCGTTGGCATTTCTACTGACACCGTTATGTCAGTACGTGCTGGGCACGGCGGGGATTGGCAACCGAGGCGTGGCCGTTTGTGGTCGATATTCCGCGCCAGAGTTGGCCGCGGCTTTGCTGGCTGCAGCCATCGTGGCTGTATGGGTGCTCACTGGCCATTGGCTGCTTATGGATGGTTAGTATATGTGGCAGCTGCAACAGCAACGTGCATATATAGCCACATCCTGTTTAAAAACTATGTACAGTTTGTCTTTTTTTGAAGATGGAATAAGATGACAGTTCATTGTGCAAAAGATTTGCCCGCTTGCAAGCAGCTAGTGATTGCATTCGATAAATATTCTATCGACTATCGACTAAATCGTGAGCTTAGTGCAAGAAGTCATTAATTGCCATATAATTTATAAGGCAATTAATGACTTCTTACAATATGCCGACGAAATATTGCTTACGCTTATGCAATAAATAACCGAACTTGTTTCATTTGAATTGTCATCGGCCCATTGTTCGTCCAACTGCTGAACACGGGTTCATTTGAGTTGTCAATTTTTATAAATCCATTCATACATACGTACACTACATCTAAATGTAATGTGTCTAGTTCTAAAACTATGTCTACTAAAAATACAAAGAGCCTGACCTTATTAAAATATGTCTGAATAAAAATTGATTTCGATGCTGGCAGTCCAAGTGTCAAAATAAGAATAAAGAAGCCAATTCAGAAATTAGTAATCATTAAACCGTCAACATTTTAACTTTCACAATCTATCGATAAAATTGTCAACAACAACTATATGACTATTTGAAATTTGTTAACTGGCAACCTTTGCAGGGTTGTCATTTTTCAACGTTTTCAAAAAAGACACACTATACAGTATAGTTAATTAGTTAGATATTATTAGATAAAACGCCGTGTACATCAAAATGTACATCATATTATGTGGAGTGAGTCAGACCCAGGCTATATTATTCCTACTACACGTATACGTGTGTGTGCATTACAAACATAATTAAAATTTCTCATACAAATTTAGTTTCAGAAAAGTTGATTTGTTTAAAAAAAAACAAATAAATGCACGCGTTGTATATCCGAAAATAAAAAATGTTTTGTTTAGAGATGGCTAAAACCTAAGACTTCAATATGTAAGTAATTTCAACCAAAATCCATTATTGTTCCAGCAATGGGAATGGGTTTATGCGTGACGTTCATCGCGCTCATCCGCCTACCGTCATTGAAGGTGTCCACACTGTTACTAACCGGACTGCTTCTCTATGATGTCTTCTGGGTCTTCTTTTCTTCATACATCTTCACTACTAATGTCATGGTCAAAGTGGCTACCAGGTAATAACAATGTGCCAGACAACCTCACCTATTGGTGAGGTCTGGTCACGAATTAGAGACTAATTTATACTGTGTTTACCTGAGCATCGGAATTCACCCAGAACAACCAAATTTACAAAAAGAACAGAAATTTAGAAAAGTTCATTTTCGAATCGAACTCGGGACTTTCTCATCCAACGCCCGAAGTGCAAACTATTGAGCCACCAAGTCGTCAAAGTTAGCAATTAGGATTCATATTTTACCATACCGCTAAGTGTACAAAGATGGCAAACTTTGTATACTACTCTGTTGCCTTAGTTAAAATCTTATGATGTAGACGTCGGGTCCGCGCTAAAAAGTGTCCGAACTTATAGGGCGTTAAAATCGTATACAGAGCGTCATTCACGCTTTAGTCTTCGTTTGTTCGACTGACAGCGAAGCAAGCAAAATTAGACAGTACTGCGATGACATTACAATTTAAATTCAACGTTTTAGCTTTTTCATATTCCTTTACATGTTACTGTGTTTAAATAGGTTGACTTGGGACATTTTTTTCGTGGTTTTTGTATTAGACCCGTCGTCCATTTATTTGTAAGTCAATGGTTAAAATAAAATTACTTTCGACTTCTACTAATTTGTAGAAGTACCACATATAGCGCTACCGTGTCAAGTTTCTTCTTCTAGGATCTTCTAGACCATAGTTAGTGCTACTGTTGGATAATATTTTGAAAAATTTCAAATCGGAATTTGTTCCGGAAAAAATATTTATAATGGCACCATCGCTTTCGTTCAGTGTGTTCAACTTTCGAAGGTTGTTATTGTAAAAGATATATATAAATGTAAAACCATTTAGATATATCTTTTGAAATTTTATTTAGCGTCAATCATAAAATAAAATTGTACTTACAGCGAAAATCAAGTCAGATTAAAACGAGATTTAAAATGATTGGACAACAGCGAAAAGAAATCATAGGTAAAAAAATCTTTATAATGGCAACATCGTTTTTGTTCAGTGTGTTCAACTTTTGACAAGTGTCATTTGTCATGTGGAAAAATGTGTGAAAAATATTCGGAAATATTTAATTTTTTAAAACGGAAATTTTACCGTGAACCCAACATTAATCCCATCAATTCTGTAATATCAAAACACAATTATTTTTTAGAAAAATCTGCTGAAAGAAGGATTGTTCGACTTTTGTCATTTTTCAGATTAATACCTTAAGGATACATTTAACTTACTTTGTACATTAAATATTAAAGAATTCAATTTAGCCATTACAATTGACATTCTATAGATAATAGCCGAAAGATTCTTGTTGTATTGAAATTACAAAAGACTGTACTGGGATAGTGAAGGTTTATATTTGCTACAGTATACAGCAGCAACGGATCGATCGAATCCGGAATCTCCTCACCCAGTGCCCACAGTGCAAACCGCGCCACTGTGGTCGACTATATTACATTCTCATTCGATTTTTATTAAGATCATTATGACGAATCGAATCGCCTAGATCGCATTTATAATTTAAACAAAATATCTAGATCTCTTCTTGAATCTATTTTATATTGGCCTGCAAGAAAAGTAGGCAACATCTAACTACAATTTGCCGATTCTTTCTACTTTTGTCTCATATGAACGTCTTTTCCCACTGGCTAATATCACCCTAACTGAAAGTCGTAACCGACTGAAAAGGAAAAAATTTTTTTTATCAATTCAAGAGCATACGATCCGATCTGTGGGTGGACTTTTTTTTATTATTATTGTACTAAGTGATGGGACGAACAAGTGGTACGCCAGATGATGAGCGACACGCCTGTCATAACAGTTGCAGTGCAGTTTAAGATTATTTACTAAACGGGAACGCAAACTATTGGAATGGCTTAGGATGCACGTTCACAGAAGGCCGTAACATGAGCCAGTTCAATGCATGCGTGGTGAGTGAGGGTATTGGCCCGAAAAATTTGAATTTGTTCTAATTTAGTGGATTGTCTTTATCACTGGTCTAGAGACACTCCATAGTGGATTGTGTATATTTATACGACGCCAATTATGACGTGGCTGAATGGAATGGCTCGTCGATTGGCCCCGTATAAACGGTCCTTAAAGCTAATCGCAAAGGTCTGAGGTACACTGCCTCTGCGCCCATCACCCTGAGACATAATTGAAAAGTCCCATGTGCCTGTAATTTCACCAACACCCTTCAATAGCGGAACGAAGTAATGCTCACATTACTTCTTTACTTCTTGGCGGCAGAAATAGGTAAGGTGGCAGCACTTCCCTGGACGAACTCTTTCAAAAGGAGTTCTACTGGATCTCGACTGGATCCATATTTATGATTCATTACGATCCAAAAATCGTTACAAAGCAAAAAATCGTCCATCCCTAGCGGTAACGTCTTACTTAACCATGTTACGGATTGAAATGTATTTTTAATCTATTTTACAGGCCAGCTGAGAACCCCATGAACGTAGTGGCGCGGCGGCTGGCCCTCGGCGGTATCCGCGACGCACCTAAGCTCAGCCTGCCTGCCAAGCTAGTGTTTCCCTCGATGCACCATCAAGGACATTTCTCAATGCTCGGTTAGTAAAAATGTATAATATCCTAACTACATTGCCCTTCAGGTTTATAAAAACTGCACTGTTATAAAAAATTCAAAATCATCTTTATTTCATAGATAAGCAAATTACATTTCAAATCGTCAAATTGATTAAACTCTACCGCTCCTTCCTATTCTTAATCGACTTTGAAAAAAGGAGGTTCGCAATTCGACTGTATGTTTTTTTGTGTATGTGTGTTACGCGATAACTCCGCGGCATTTGTGAAGCGATTTTGATGATCTTTTTTTTGTTGGAAAGAGGGTACCTCATTAGTGGTCCCATTTAAATTGTAAATATTCCACCTGTAAGGTTGGCAAAGTAAGGGATGAATGACATTTTTTTGAGGGCAGTTTTTTTAGTACTCTGTATTGAGATTAATAAGCAGGGATCGGAATAAGTACTGTCTGTGGTAGTGTACTTAAGGGATTTCCCGAATCCCGAACAGATCCAGGACCTAAAGAATATTGTCGTAAGACAGTATCCATTTTCTGTCTATGTTCCTCGAAGTTTAGGTAGAAAAACTACCTATTCCGATCCCTGTTAATAAGTGACGGAACGAACAAGTCGTGCGCCTGGTGATAAGCGACACGCCTATCCGTAACAATTGCAGTGCCACTTACAGCTTTGAATCGCAAAGATCTAAGGAGCACTGCCACTGCGCCCGTCACCCTGAGACATAAGTTGACAAGTCCCATCTGCCTGTAATTTTACCAGCACCCCTTCAAAACCGGAACACAGTCGTGCTCACTTTACTACTTAATTAATGCTCATTTATTGATAATAAATATAATAGTAGTTTATGTGACTGTTCCATAATAAAAGGCATTCAAATACATGTGTGGGATGTTTGAAATTTGAATGTAATAATAAAATGGAATTTAATGTTATTATTAAGCAATAACAACATTTTCACAGATAAGTTTCTTATCTTTATGCTGGTCGTAATTTGCGGTTTTTGAACACATCGTAGAGAGTTTATGATATGCGCGTAGATAATAATAGTTTATGTGACTGTTACATAATGAAGATTAAAATACGAGTGTTTTAATGCCTAATTGTTATTTATTTATTTATTTAGTTTACACATGTTATAAGCTCTCTGTGATGTGTTCAGGAACCGCATGTTACGACTGGCGAAATGGCAAATAAAAACTTTTCTCACGCATATCACACAACCGTAGTTTTTATTTAATTCATTCTCATATCAACTATCATTTTGTTCGATATAAAATAACGTGTGAAATTTGTCAAACATTTCATTTCGCATAAAACTTCATCTCGATATTAGAATTGAGGTCGAATGATAAGAAATTTATTCTAACAAAACTGTTAATTTTTATGCTGGTCGTTATTTGCGGTTTTTGAACACATCATAGAGAGTTTATGATATATGCGTAGATAAATAATATTACCATATCACCTTTATACACTACAGGTCTTGGTGATATTGTGATGCCGGGTCTATTGCTGTGCTTCGTACTTCGTTACGACGCGTACAAGAAAGCCACTCTCGTGTGCCAAATGGGACAGGTGCCCGGACCCCGATCCATGGTTAGTACTAATTCCTAACTGTCTAGCTTGAAAACCATACACATACACATTTTCTATGTCATCACTTAGCTCGGCTCAGGGCTCATTGAAAACCAGCGCCACGGTCAATTACGGCTATGGCATAAGATGAATGAAGTCTTTTGCGTACGCCACAACCGCACAAATGACAGTACAATTTCAAGTCATTATATTTTACTTTTTGCTTTTTGTTTTATTTTATTTTGTTTTTTGTATTTTTTGTATTTTTTGTTTTGTTTATTAATTCTTTTAATTTTATTTCGTTTGTCTAAGTGTTTTCGATATCTTTTTTATCTATGCGTTGTGGCGTTGCAATAAATGTCTATTCTAATTCAATTCGTACCCTTGACATCATAAAACCTCTATGCTTTTATCACATGAAAGTCATAAAAATAATACGAACTACATGAAACAATTACACGAAGCGTGTGCGCACGCTTCTGTACGTGCGTGCCTTCGTTTATAAGACCTATTTGTGAATGCACGCTGTACTTGTACAGAGTTCTTTCTAGCACTCCTTTTCTTGATTCCCTGCAATAGAACAAGTATGTTTCCTACAGGGTTCCCGTCTGACGTACTTCCACTGCTCTCTGCTGGGCTACTTCCTGGGTCTGCTGACGGCGACAGTGTCGGCGGAGGTGTTCAAAGCAGCGCAGCCGGCGTTGCTCTACCTCGTACCTTTCACGCTGCTGCCTCTGCTCACTATGGCCTACGTTAAGGTGTTAATCATGTATATATTTAGAGGAACGGTAAAAATAAGGACGAATAAATAATAATAAATAACGCATATAATTATGGCCCCGCACTAAGGAAACCGTGTTTCGCGGGTGCCATGGACACACGTAGGTAGACAACCACAAATTACACCCAAACTTACGAGAGAAATAAATGTAGGCCATACAAATATTTCTCCCGGCCAGTCTAGCATGGTATCCGTCCGGCCACGAACGCTGTTAAGATGAGTCACGGGAGGAGAAGCGGATAAAACTGCTTTGCTAGATACTATTAAACTACTTACTATTAAACTTACATACGATTATACTATACACCTAAGAATACAGTCTAAAGAATGTTCTAATTTATTTCACGATAGGATGTTCTTTACTCGATCATATAAAATCCCGAAAAGAGGCCAAAATAAAAGTGTAAAACAAATTATTTAACAATAAAATAAATAACTTTGCACATAATTTTTATGTGGATATAATTTCTCTTTAATTACTACAAAGAACCTGCTGAATTTTGGTTTTCAACTGAGGCTCTGTAGTTATTAAATTGATATTTATCCCAGAACTTGCAAATACTCAGACAGTTTAACAACACGCCGCCCGCTGCCCCGTCAGTCACCATGGGGCGCTTGTCAACGTCAGTAAAAATTTTCCCCGCTTGTAATAAACACACGCCTGACATCCTAAAATCAAGGTTCACGTTCAAATAGCTCGCCTTAACAACGTTCACATGAAGCACTGGCCACGAAACCAAAAGACGATTGAAGTCGTTCTTTTTTCAAATTAAATGTTCAGTTTCGGCGTGTACGATGAGTTCGAACGGTTCTGCCATCTTGTGGTTAGACGCGTGAGAGACGGAAAGGTTATTGTTTCCGGCCAGGGTCGACAAAAGCCGAAAGCTGTCAAATTTAGCGCACTTCGAGTGCGGTTATTATGGCGTTATACATTTGTTTGCATGTTTTGCTTTTTCTTGTTAATCAATTGCGGGATTTCAGAAGTAGGTATTATTCATCCATATAATGATGTATTTCCAGGGCCGAACGGTTTCCATGCTGGACTACTACTCAGAGGTCCCGCTTTCGATTCCCGGTCCGGGGAAATATTTGTATGGCCTACATTTATTTATCTCGTCGACTTTGGGTGTAATTTGTGGTTGTCTATGCAATAATAGGCTATGATAAATGTAAATAATTGGCAATGATTCGAATAATAAGATAGCAGTGAGCAGTTATCGCATTGTAATTCCGCAATTGTTCGCATTATCCTTTTTCATTTGACGACCTCGGTGACTTAACGGTTTGTACTGTGGATTTGTATCATAATTTATTTATTTCTTCACCAGGGCGATTTGAGAAGAATGTGGAGCGAACCATTCATAGCCCCGCCGAACGGCAAGGGCGGCACCGACTTCGACGTGTGACTCATCGCACTGTAGCCATCTCAAGAATGCACTGCAGCAATGCGCTTGCACCCATACCTCTTGTACTGTTAGTTATTGCGTCATCAACTCACTAACGGCTTGCAATGGTATCGCATCGTTGACGTCACAATAGCAATCTCGGATTGAATACTTTCGGTACGTTTCCAGCCCCATCGTAAGTTTATAATTTTAGCGCCATCTAGCGACCGTTATGGTTACTATTGCGTTTGCGACTGTCATCCTTCAAAAAAGGAAATGCCCGCAGATCAATAATCTACAGTCACCATGATGTCACTACATGGGAATCTGCGTAACAAACGGACAACGACGATATCGTGATCGATCCATTGTAAATACTGCACGATTCCTAAAGAAAAGTTGCGCTATCGTGAAAGTCAAGTAGGGTTAGTTGTCGATTAATAATTTCGACTGCTGACTACGCAAATGAAACTTAATTTAAGTTCAGTGGAACTCTATTTCGTTTATCACTATGAAAAGGACATAAAGATCAATGCCCATTTTGGACTCGCAAATTTTTATATCGCGACCGCTTGAATATTTATATCCATCTAAATATACGTGATAAAATAAAATAATTTTCATTCATAAAATTTTCAAGGAGAAAAAAGATATGAATTTTTAATAAGAATACGTATAAACATAAGGAAAACATTGTAAATATTTCTTTTTGTACGTAACAAGACTTAAATTTTCAAGCCTCGTTTACACAAATGTTGCCAAAATCAACTTCCCGTAGTTAAAAATATATAAATCCAGTATAATTAGAAACCACATTGAAACAAATGAAACTCTGTATCTGCGATTGATGATCGTCAATTTTTTTAGCTGGTCCACGACTGTATGAAACTTGGGCATTGTTCTTTCGTTTTAATTTAATAACTTTTATCATACTAATGTTATAAATATTCATAATATTGACAGCTCTGTACGGAAAAGTAATCTTCTGATCATCCCTTACCGTTAACGAATGAGATTTGAACTGCAATTGAGTGTAGTATTTCGTACGTAAATCGACGTGCGAAATACTACACTCGACGTACATAACTAACCTTACAAGACGGCGGCTAAATTGATTGTAGGGAATGCGAGTGTGACCTGTGTCAGCCAATGACACGCTACCATTTCGCACTTGCCTCCTGTTCAGTATGATCAAAATGTATGCCGCGATCAATAACGGGAAGTTAACTTGAGACCAGTGTTACGTCCTATATCCTTGAAAGCCATAGAAATAATAGTAATTGCTACCTTCAAAAATGTATTAATAAGCAATAGACGTACTTATTTTCAATAGTGTTCTTGGAACAGACACTAGCCTTAAAATTTACAGTGAAATTTCAGATTTGAAACAATGACACCGGGTTCAGCCCTGTTTTGACTTCAGAAGTGTCCTTGAAATATCCACAACATAGGTATATGACTATAATAACAATGTGACAACCCTACGCTCCGAGTGAAGTGTCGGTATTGAAGCGCCAAAAAGGCGGGAGTGGCCCTACTTGTTCTTATTTATACTATGTTATTTAGGCAACGTCCTGGCTTACACTAGCGCATAGATTTACAAACTTTTTGTTTGACTGCCCATTTAGGCAAGATAATAAAATTTCTAAGCCCATCACCATAAAAAATACGCATTTTTAGGAAAAAAGTGTATACGTGTGGTTTATACAAAATTCAGGTTTTTTTTTTTTAGCTAGCCCAACGCGATTGATTTCATATACTTTCACGAAAAAGGAGCGCAAGAAAAAGCACGTTCAATTATATTAACTCTTTGTACAGTGATCGCGAAGTCTCAAGTAAATTTCCCATAAAGATCGGGATTATAAAACGTATATGCTAAGGTAAGGTACGATTAGATAACTAAATACGCTTTATTTCGTTGGAACTTCGTCATGGAGTCACAGCACAGGGTATCTCGACCTCCTATTGGCTGACCAGTGCAGGCACTTCATTTGAGGTGTTTATTCGTAACTAGACTCAAGAGATGAACCTATATAAATAAATTATTTATTAAATTTGCTATACTGAAAATTATGGGTTTATTATGGGTAAAGATCCACAACTTCAGGTTGTAGCGCCTATTTTGTATTCGGTGTTATTAGGTTAGGTTTTACTCTTGCCACCCTTAGCTTCACAAAAATCTCCGAGTCTTGCTAAAAATATGCAACCCTATGAGTTCAATCCACCAGCATACTTTAGAACACGCGTGGCTGTTTCCTCCTCTACATGAACAAATTTATAAATATACGAATTCTTTTAATTAAATTTAGATATGAATAAATACCTCAACTTCATTTAATTCTGATGACAAATACTCAGAGCATTTTTTACTTTTACTTTTAATACTTCTTTTTTAAATATTTTGATACTTATTGAATGAAATGTTTTTACATCGGCAGACTATTTTTATTTTAAATTACGCAAGACTTTTTTTGCCTATCTATATCATTATAAGTATAATTTTTAAGTGAATGAAATTCGCGATATTGAATAATTTCTAATCGTAACTTTTTTTAATCACGCAAGACTTTTTTTGCCTATCTATATCACTATAAGTATAATTTTAAAGTGAATTAAATTCGCAATACTGAATAATTTCTAATCTAAATTTAAGCAAAGATAGACGAAAGAATCTTGCGTTTATTTTTTAAGGCCCTTGATTGGACAATGGTAACATATTGACCATCTATATATATATTTACTGAATAATAAGCCGTATTGTATCCATAAATAATTATTTTTATTCTTGAGTAGTGGCTGTAAACCTTGAATCATTGCCTTAAAAAATGAATATTTTTTGCCGCCAAATGTTATGTATTTATTGAAGAATTCAAGTGAAAGTACAAGATAAATAAGTACTGCAGGGCGACTATTGTGTGAAACCCTGTAAGTCGTGCGGGAAAAGTTACCACACCCGTTCATCGAGTTCAAAGTGCTTGAACCGAAAGAAGCGTGTTCGTGAAACTGATTTAGGTGACAACCACGAAGTGTCAGTATATTGTGTCAAAAAGGGAATTGATTCTTTTGTCTGTACGCTGCCATCCTGCAGATAAAAGATTTGAGTTATTGAAAACGATTCGAAACGACGTAAAAGACTTGTTAAGACTCGGGATTGAATGGTCATATTTGATAAATTACTTTTTCAAACATTACTGTACTCGTGATGACTTTCCTCGCCTGGTTCCAAAGTTTGAACCTTTACAATTCACCTACGTATTGAAGAGCAGACAACAAGATCCGTTGGGTATTATTGAAAAATACAAGCAATTGAATAACAACGTGGTGTGTGACGGAGCGTTGAGGTCGTTCACTTTAATGGCTATCGCCAAGGAGTACAATACAATTTTGGAGACGAATATACACACGCACGCTTTCAAACGCTTAAAGCGATACATGTAATTCAAGTTTTTCGAAAATTCCCGCTGTTTGTAAATATTCAACACGACCTTTCGGAAAATATTAAGTAGTCGTTCAATGTATTTCCTGTGAATTCTCACGGGTTGAAATAGCTCACTTACGACTGGCGAGGTCTGTATGAACTTTTACGCGTCGATCGGCAGAATGCACCATCGTCGAGGACACTTTTTTGAGAAAATATCAAACAATATTGGAGTAAATATTTCGGCCTGCCCAAAAATTTCGGTTATAGTTTTTGCACCGACGGCGTTTGCGTTTCAATGTCGATGAATAGATTAGTTGAGAAAGAGTACAAATATGAAGCCAAGGAAGTGAGAAAATAAGAAGCAGTTATAGGAAATATAATAAAGTTATAGCCGTTGGTCCGGGCGCCAAAACCCCGATAGTTACATGCACGAGAACCAGAGACGGGTTTGAGTACAATACGATGAAAGAGGGTAAAGTTGTATACGAAACTAAAGAGCGGCACCGAGAAAGAAAGAGATTACGATTGGTCAAAGATATAGATGCAAAAATTAGAAATGATAGAGAGTCTACAGAAAAGCAACTGGGATGTACAATCTCTCGCAAAACTGCACACGTAGAAGAATACACCAAATTCCAACTCAAATGGTTCGACAAGAAACAGCAACGCTACGAACAGAGACGGGTGCAGCTGTTAAAGTTTGACAAGTATATATACACGATCAAAAGGTAAGCCACACGATTGTCGACGAGTATTACGGTAAAGAGGCCGGCACACTCGTGGTTTACGCCGCCGGGTTCGATTTCATGAACAAAGGGAACTTTAAGGGTCACCGTAAATTTAGACAATGATATTATGAAGGCAATAAAACAACGAAAAAAATTGTCCATCTATATTATAGGCGAAGCGTTTACAACTAAAAACTGCAGCAAATGTTTTGAAGAAAACATACAGCAAGGACTGCACGTCTCTAAATCTCCACACCGTTACGTATACTGTAGTGTATGCCGTAAAGGTATTCATAGAGATAAAAACGGGGCAAAAAATATTCTATTGAAATACGAATATAAAGTTCAAAATTTGCCGCGTGTTCCTTCGTTCACCGGCACTGATATGGATGTTAGTCAATAAGGTCCATTATCGTAACTCTTAGCCGGCCATTAAGACCGGTTAAGGCCCTTGGATTTACGTAAGGTATTAAATACGCCACGCATATAAATTAAAGTAATCTAATAATCTGTATCTGTATAAAAATATCTATCTGTATTGTGACGCAATTAGAAGAGTTCTGTGATTGATTTTTTGTTAAATCAAGTGACGTGACGATTTCCGTTTATTCCACTAAGATCAACTAGAAGTTCAATCAGCTGAAGTAATCGGACACAAATATTCCAATTAGTTCAACTAGATACAACTTTAAAAAAGTTGAATTTATTGGACGAAATTCATCCTGTTAGTTCAACTTTCCAATTATTTAAGAGGGAGCAGAGGAAAAATTCCTAATCTTCGATTTGATTTTAGAGGGGTATATCCACTTTAAAGTTAAAAATATTATTATTATTGTATGAGTAACTACACGATATATGCAAGCATAGACATTAATCAGAAACATAAAACCATAAAGTTTCCTCGATAGATAAAAATCACGAAATGACCTCTAATTTTCACATTTTTTCGATTTATCCTCGAAATGCTCCAGGTTATTAGGACAAAAATTAGATAATTAATTATATTTATGCATGATCGACAACTGTCACTACAGATTTTTTTTAATCCCTTTAGTTTTAGAGTTATTCCGCTAAAACGAATTTGGTACTTTTAATGCGCAAAATTCAACATCTGTCGCATGTCACGCGAACTTCAGGCATATATTTGTTTCACAAATTTGGGCGGAGCCAACGTCAAAACTTATTTGGCATGAGAGCTCTTAAATAATAGTTCAACGTATAACTGATAACATGTTAAGTTGAACATGTTGTTGTTGTTGTTGATATCAAACAATGAATAAATATGTAATTAAATAGAATATAATGATATAGAATAGATAGCAAAGTTTAAGCGATAACTGTAAATCCAGATTTTTTTATGCATGTATAAAACACTTCTAGTATTGTCATACTGGGCCCCTAATGTTAACTTTAAGTTATATTGTGGATGGATAATTATATAAAAGTATTATTTTATATAAATAATGTTATTAACGTTATTTATTTAGTCGAGTTAATAAGTTCAACTTACATGTTCACTCCTTCCTTGTGCTCCTACTTTGGTTTGGTTATCCTACTACACATAAAGATAATAAGGAATATTATCAGTTATACGTTGAACTATTATTGTTGTTAAAGTTGGAAAGTTGAACTAACAGGATGAATTTCCTCCAATAAGTTCCAACTTTTCAAAAGTTGCACCTAGTTGAACTACTTGGAATATTTGTGTCCGATTAGTTCAACTGATTGAACTTATAGTTGAACTTAGAGGAATAGAGGACGATTTCGGGGTCAACATTCGAATGCTGCATATGTATGCACGGGTGTTCTACTAAGGTGGTATCAGCTTCCATACATTTTTGTGCAATGTGCTTTTTAGTATCAGTAGAAGTGCTGCCACCTTACCTATTTCTGTTGCCAAACGATAGTGTGAGCACTACTCCGTTTCGGAGGGTAAGGGCACATGAGGCTTGTCAACTCTATGTTTCACGGTGACGGGCGCAGTGCAGTGCCCAGATCTTTGCAATTAAAAGCTCTGAGCGGCATTGCTGTTAAGGACAGGCGTGTCACTTATTATCAGGCGCACGATTGGTTTGTCCCGTTGCTTGATATCATAAAAAAGGTCACGTACTAGCTTACTACACTCGGTATTTATATTGTTCGGTACGAAGATCCTAAAGGGAGACTCAGGGTCGTAGTCCAGAAGGTACCATCTCAGTTCGCCGTGACCATGATCATGTAAAGAATCCGAACCGTAGGTTTGTTTAAAAAAAATTTACGTGATTTAAGTCCGAAAAAATACTTTCATTTCCAATGTGTAGTAATCGCGAAAACCTAAAAACTCGGGTACACAAAATTGCTGAATATCAGTGAGCAAAAACCCTTACACGGCCCTCCAAGGGTCTTTAGGGTCTACTTTTTTTTATTATTCTAAAAATCAGAACAGAATCAATATAGTTTTAAGATCTTTCAATGAATCTCATTTGCGATAACTTTTTTTATGGATTTGATGTATATTATACATTTTTAATGCTGTTACATATTCTTACAAATTGATTTAAAGGTGCATGCTTATATTAGGAAAATATGTGAGGACCATTGCATGTAGGGGTTGCATAAGGCTTCCGTCGTTTAACAGTTTCAGTACCGAGAAAACTCAAGCGTGTCCAGCCATACTTTCACAACATGCGGTGTGAGTTCTTCATACATCATCATTGTTCATTCGTGCGATCGCGGAAGCAAACAACTAATTTTAAATCTTTCTGCTATAGATTCAATTTAAAAATATGCTGTAACTATCTTGAACTAAATAACATGAAATCTACTTATTATTTAATCTACGGGCATGAAATCCCTGTGGCGTTGTAATGCAATTTTTTGTCTGCAAAAACGTGCAATTTCTGTGTTTTATAGGAGTTATTTGTTTTTGGTTCCATATGATCAAAACTTTGTTGTCACTGCCTTAGACTGATGTTTTCAATGAAATTTTTTTTTATATGTTTAAAATGAGTATTATGATATTAGTCTAAAATAGTTATAAGACACTAACTCGTTGTTATTATAGTAACAACTGTATTGTTGTTGTAAATTATTTGAATTTGAAAAGATTTTACGTAAGACATTATCACATAAGTATAGAGTTATGGTATGTGTGATTTTTAGCAAACCTTTTATTGTAATATGTTAGATTTACTTTTCCTTTTTTTTCAACATAGGTATAAGAATAGCTTACATTAAGTGTGCAAATATTTTATAAATTTCAGTATTTGTTTAGCAAGAAAAAGTGATATGATATTATTGAGGCTTGAATCTGAAAGTAATAAATGTATCATTTATTGATTTCTTATGATTTATCTCAATGAACTTTGTTTCTACTTGTAAAGTATGATTGGAACATAGTTTGGTGTATTTTTTAGATGTTTACATATAAAGGATAACATTATGAATTTTTCTAAAGATGTACATACTGTGTAAGTTGAGTGTTTCATTCTGTTAGTTCACCTGTTTCAATGTAAATAAATCGTTCATGACATTTCGTTCATTATGCATCCACAAAAACTCAAATGCATTTAATATTTTTATATGTATCTCGAGTATTTGTTAGCAATACTTAATAAAAATATTAGATGAAATTATTTATATCTTTTATTATTATACTACTATATTACTAAATACCTATCCTTAACGAGAATATAAAACAAAACACTAACACAAGTTAGTTATCTTTTTCTTTTTCAATTTAATTAGTCTTGTTGCCACAACATGCAAACAACTATTTATTGTTGATGCAATAGGAAATATGCCTTATACCCAGCATCACAATCAATATTGTAAATTTTTACCAGTCCGGTAAAGTAAATTAGTTTTGCTACTACAGTAGCAAAATTTAGTTAGTCTGTAAAGTTACAAGAGCATTTTTCTGTTAATTCTGGGACAAGCTTATTCCGATGCTACTATTCTTCCATCTTAACTCCATGGCCGAATGGTTACCATGCCGGACTGCCACGCAGAAGTCCCAGGTTCGATTTCCGGGCCGGGAGACATAGTTGTGTGGCCTACATTTATTTCTCTCGTGAGTTTGGGTGTAATTTGTGGTTGTCCATGGCACCCGCGACACAGGGTTTCCCTAGTGCGGGGCTATGTTGAGTGTGTGTGCATTATTATCTTGAGAACCACAGCACCTGGATTACATGTGATCGCGGTCACTAATGGACATTATTTACTCAATTTGTACAATGCTGACCCCCTTCATCGTCATCTCATCCTTTTATCATCCTCTACTGATCCCTGGCCTCTTAAAATTTAGAATGGACCTTGAATTCCCTTTACTATCAACCAGACATCACTCCCATCAAAATTCTCAAAATGAGAGGATGTGCTCATCATAAATCACCTTCATGTAATCACTTCAAATCACAAACTTAAACTTTGTAATTTACTTTTAGGGTGAACAGTTGGATTGTTTAATACTAAAGTAGTGCAACTAGTATTTTATGCTAATTGCACTTTTTTATTGTCACAACTTTTCATTGGTACCTTTCAATAAATTATGTGGACCAACTAATCGACGATAAATAACTCATTTACATAGTTATTTTTACTTGACATTGGCAAAATCATTGATTATTTCGATGGGGCCATAACATTTAAAAGAAGAAGAAGAAACAATAAAACAACATACAATATATTTTTTATTTACTAGCTTCAATCTGCTTATTGGTGTCTCTCTTCTCGATGAACCGTAATTGCTTCTTCTTCATCCTCTTCAGCTTAGCAGAATTTGTAATAACTTGAACAATTTCTGCTTTACGCTTATTCTCCTCTGCCCGTTTTATGTTTTCACGTCTCCTTTCTTTGCGATTTAATTCCTTCTGCTTTAATTCTTCCTGAACTTGTTTAGATAGTTCCTTTGTTCTCTGTAAGTCAATTCGTAGTGCTGTCTTCTTTACAAAGTCCTGTCGAAGACCTTTGGTTTTGTTTATTGATGAGAATCTACAAAGAAATAAAAATGTTTAAAAACTTGATGTTATAAAGCGATAACTAAAAGCAGGTTTGCATAAGGTATAAACTCAAACATACAGTTAAATAACAGATTTCTCTCTAGGCTGTGTGTGAGGAAAAGTCCAATAGGATCACTTCATTTTCCTAGCTACATTTAGCGTACCTCTGGTGAAAAAGAGCTAGTGATAGTAAGTATTTGTTCATAAGTAAAAAAGCGGGAGATGTGTGTCGCCTCCACTCACTCCACCACACCGCACTCCACCCGCACACAGCTGAAAAGAGTCTCTCATCCTCTCTCCGCTTCGCTAAAACTGTTTCATAACTTCACTACTCATTCTCTCACCGCCTAGCTACCTCGCACAGCTTTGGTGGAAACCATCACACCATTTTACAGAACCATTACACATCATGGTACTGGCTATAATAAAGTCCATTTGTTTAGGTACTTAAGTAAATTTAAACAATTTTGTCTTTTTATTGAGGCATATACTTTACAAATCAATATGTATAAAAATAGGCATGCAATTATATATGAAGCTAAGTATTTGAAATTTGAAGGTAAGTAAAAATCATTTTATAAATATATATTTCATTAAATAGACATATCAAGATTGTTTACATTTACCTAAACAAATGGACTATAGCAACCTCGCACATCTCTGGTGGAACTGCAGTTTTATGGTTCTAGTAATTTAAAGTTCTCAATATATCAATGGTTGAAAAGTAAATGGGGCTAAGAAAGTTAGCTAGACGAGTGTTGTAAAATTTGTAGATTATAAAAACGATGTAAGTTACCGATATACAAACTTTTTCTATCGTAGGTACATGCTGTTAAATAAGAACTCACCGTTCCCTTTTCGATTTCCAAAATCTGCCGGACTTAGGTTTGCCCATTATTGGATCTTTCTTCTTCAAAAGTTTTTGTTTTGATCCTGAAATAACCTCCACTTTTTCGAGTTTTTCGCTATCCTCTGCGTTCTCTTGGTTATTTTTTATATTAGCTAATATTGAGAGGACTTTCTCATTTGTTTCTTCAGTCATTTTATAAGATATTTCACTAAACTTAAATGAACAAAATAATTAAATAAACACAATCGCACGTGTGATCACTGTGTCACATCAAAGTCACAAACGTCACAAATTAGAAAGATGTGTCGTGGATGAGTGGATGTCACAAACTACAAATCCACATCTAATAGTCTGTCTCTCTCGATTTTCAGTGCTCACTGCAATACTCAAGTCCTGACTTGAGTATTGAGTAGAGTTCTGGAATACGACTCCTATTAATCTCCGTCCGAAACAATTACTGTCAAATAAGTAATATTCGACAAAATTAAAAGACAAGTATCAAATATGAAGCTTCATTCGCATCACGCGTCTTTTCATTTGGTCAAGTATTGCTTATTTGGCAGTAATTGTTTCGGACAGAGATTAAAATAGGAGTCGTATTCCAGAACTCTACTCAATACTCAAGTCAGGACTTGAGTATTGCAGTGAGCACTGAAAATCATACATCATCATCATCATCATGTCCTTGCCATTAGGGTCGTATTTCCAGTGCTTGAAATCATACTCAAGTCTGCTCAAGTCCTGACTTGAGCACTGAGTAGAGTTCTGGAATACGACCCTGAGACTGAGAATAGATCCTCAGAGAACAAATAAGTAACGAGAACGGACACTCTCCGCCCCTCCCTAGCTTTAGATACCGCACCACGCCCCGCACATTGCCTGAACGAGAACAATGCTGTAAGCGACCAGTTTTCGCGCTAATAATAATAACAATAATAATAATAATAAATTAGTCTTTTAGGCCTTGGGAGAGGCGAGAGTTTAAAATAAACGTAATAATAATAATAATTCAAAATGAATCTTTTAGGCCTTGGGAGAGGCGAGAGTTTAAAATAAATACAATAACAATAATAATCCATTTATTTCAGACTTACATTCATCCATAATATACGACTTTGATATTTGAATATAGTTTTCATTTATTCATTACGAAATTTGTACGTTAATATAGATAACATCATTTTACGTTACTATTTATAATGGTCGTGAATTGTGACCATAACTTCGTGAGTGACAAGGCTTCTTGAAATTTCTATTTTTATTGCCGATAAATATTACGTATGTAGTAAATATACCTAATTATCAACTAGGTAATGATAAACTTGGACTCGCAATTTCAAATACTTTGGTTACTTTATTTCAAGGTACTTGTCCAAAATATAACATTTTAAGTGCTTTTAATATATTTTTTAAATAAATCTTTAATATTATTCTAGTTAGTGGATTAATGAAAAATATAATATTGTATCGATATAAATACCTACGTAATGAACATGTAATTATTAGGATTCTTTAATCGAATTATAGGTAACAGATTAGCGTTAGAATTTTCGTTATGTTGCCGCTCTGACCACGTAACGTAATAGTACGAACAAGTGATGGGCGTGGACGTAATAAATAAAATAATACGTCCATGGGCATGGTGATGGGTAGCCGTGTCACTTCACGCACACGTTTACGTGTGTGCAGATAGTGCCTTGCTGTATGTAGTAGTGGTAGGTAAATAATTTTCGACCGTTGTATGGAGTGTCCGGGGTGTGACTAAACACTATACTCTTCTTCTATTTTTTTTCATCCTCTATGCTATACTCACAAGAGTCACAAGTCACAGTTGACATCTAGAGGTGGGCGTTTAAACGAAAAGCACTTAAAAAAGTCTGCTTTTTAAAATAAGCGCATAAGCACGCTTTTCATTTTAAGTTGACGTCTAAATTGACACGCGGCTATTATTATAATAATAATTGAAATAAGAATTAAACGCGCTCCTTCATAATGTGTATCCGAATACTTTTTCGTTCAGTAATACCATTAAAAATTAGACATGACATTGCATGACATGAAGTTCTGTCTTATTGACGTTAAGTCAAGGAATAGCAGTGATCAAGTGATTCACTTCCTAACTTCCTAGATGAGTGGTTTGTGAACAACATACCCTTATTCACTTGCCGTATGTACTTTTTATCTATAATATAGAAATTGGATAATAAAATTATAGTTTAATTGCAAGAGTATTTAGTAATCAAGGCTAGAAACAAGTGTTTGTAAATTGTACTTAAATTTACACTTCTATTTATGCAGATAAACCAAGAAATCGACACTCAAACTTCGTCGTAATCCTTGCATACACTGTTAAGGAAATTGCCTATTCTACTTAGGAATAATGCCGGTAAGTAGGCTTAGGATATAAATTTATTCTTATTGTTTAATTATCGTATAGTTTTTCTTAATTTATTATCTATTTCTGGGTTTTCCAGGCGTACCATTCTACGTTGACTGATTACACACAAACAATTGGTAATCTAGCCGTGTTACCACTCCGGACGACGGCCCGCGGCCCCGCCCCAACCAACCCGAAGCTAGAACTCGATATCATTGATGAAGCATTAAATTATTTCAAAGCAAATGTGTTCTTTAGGTTTTATGAGATAAAGGTTCATAAGTACTTTTAAATGTAAATCAAGTTGACGCATTCTGTATTTGTAAATGGCTTTATTATTAACTCAACAGTTATATCAAGGGGTTCGAGAGAAAGCCCAGTGTTTTTTTCAAAATTACTTACATAACTCATTACAGTGTACTTTCATGCACTAATGTCCAATGGTATGTATAATATACCAGGTTTGCAACTAAGTATTTTATGTGTTGCACTCATAAGCTTTTTTTTGCTAACATGCAATTGTTCTTATACGAGACATAAGGGTCGTATTCCAGAACTCTACTCAATGCTCAAGTCAGCACTTGAGTATGATTTCAAGCACTGGAAATAGGACCCTAATGGCAAGGACTTGAGTATGATTTTCAGTGCTCACTGCATAACCAAGTCCTGACTTGAGTATTGCAGTCTCATGTATTTTAGTGAACCATAAAGGATTTGTAATTGATTTAAAAATACTATTTTGGTATTATTGTATTGTTTGGTAATGTGGCTCTCATTACATTGTCAGACTCTGGTACATCTGATGTATTTAATGAGGTAGATTCTGTCTTACGATGAACCTCGCGAAACTCCTGCTTGGATCTCAGAAATTTGTTATTGCATCATTTATTTTGACATAGAATATGCAGTTTTCTTAGTACAAATTCATATAAGTTATTTGGAAGTAGTTTTTTCAGTTTATGTTTGTGCACTAAGTTGCTTATGAGAGAATAGAGAATTATATAATTATAATGATGAGTCAGATAACTTATGTATTATTTGAGATTTTTTGTGAAATAACTCTACTGAATAACTATATTCACACTACTTGGCTTTTGCCTCGGACCCCTGTATATAAAGTTCTTACATACATAGTATTTTTTTGCTATTAGATCTGATTTTACAACAGGAAGTAAAATCTTTTAAATATCATGTTACATGTTTTGATTGTCATTATTATTATTTTCCAGTCTGATGCAGACCGAGTACTAATTTACCTCACCCTGTACATCTCGGAATGTCTGAAGCGTTTGCAGAAGTGTTCCAATAAGAACCAAGGGCAACAAGAGATGTATATGTTGGCCATTTCAAAGTTTGACATACCTGGGGAATATGGCTTCCCTCTAAATTCTGTCTATGCTAAACCATCTAGTCCTCAGGAGGGTGGTAAGTGTTACCATGTGAGATGTTATTCTGTGATAAAAGTTGTAAAATTATAAGGCATTAATAATTACTAAATTACTTCACTTAAATTTGGAATTGTACCAGATTTTCTGTCATATGTATTTTATTTTATATTCCTGTCTATAAATTGTGATTATTAAAAAACGAAAGATTTCCGTAAGTTGCATTACTACCAATTATTAATTATTATTATTAATTACCAATGTTTTGTTTTAGATTTGATGAGGCAGTACATACAGCAATTAAGACATGAGACTGGCACCAGAGTTTGTGAAAAGGTACAAAGTTTAGGAATACATTAAAATTATTTTAAACACAGTTTTATAAACACCAAATTCTTGTTCCAGGTTTTTGCAACAGAAGATGGTAAGCCAAGCAAATGGTGGCTATGCTTCGCTAAAAGGAAATTCATGGACAAGTCTCTTTCAGGGCCTGGCCAATAAAAGAAAGCCAAAGTTTAAAAAAAAGGCATTTATTTACTCTACATTATTGTTAACGGTTCTTATGTACATACCTGTATGATTGAGAATGTCTTTGATTAATATAGGCACATTTATTTTATCAAGTAACTTGTATAAGTGTGGTTCAGTATTTTAAATAAATTTTTATTGACAACTTTTTGTTATTTTTCAAGTTATGTTGAAACAAGTATTCTGTGGTTGAAACTAACTGTGAAACAACTACCTGCCTGTCTTAACATGTTTTCTTTAGTTAATAGACATATTTATATATAACTCACACACTCAACATAGCCCCGCACTAGACACACACAAATTACACCCAAACTCACGAGAGAAATAAATGTAGGCCATACAACTATTTCTCCCTGCCCGGGAATCGAACCTAGGAACTCTGCGTGGCAGTCCGGCATAGTAACCATTCGGCCACGAAGGCAGTATACAAGTCCTGTGCAAATAGGGCATTTGACTGTTCTGGAACAAAACCATTAATGCTACCATATAGATATAATAAGGATGAAGAGTAATTCAAAGTTATTGACATTATTGTACTTTTTGTCTCATAAGTGAATGGTCTGTACTGTCTTGTTAAATGATTTGGAGCACCACTGTGAGACCATAGCTCTTGACAGGGAGATTTTCGCTAAAAATCGGTGACACTGAAATCTGACATTTCGCCGTACACATGTACTCGAAACATAATTGATTAATATAATTTAAATTTACTTTTGTGAGTACTGTGCATGTGTGTGGCAAATAAATGTGGTGGAACACACAATACACGCAGTGGAACTATTACTATAATCCTATCTTTACGTAATCAATAGTTCCCTCTAAAGCGGTATATTCCAGTATATTTTTGAGGAAACTCACCAAATAGACAGTTTGTTAACTGATATAAAAACAGTCAAACATCCTATTGAATTGCTCCTCGATGAACTTTAATTTTGCAATTTAAGCAAAGAGTATTTGCCAACTTATTATTATTTTATTCAAGTACAATGAGTAGTTTTTATTAAAAAAATTTAATCCTCATAAATAAATTCCTTTAAATAATTTTTTCATGAGTTGACCAATAAATCCTAATTTTAGCAATACTACATTTTTTATTACATAATATGCTTAAAAATCTATAGTTCTTTAAAAAATTCGATAACACATTCTCAAAATATATTTTTTCTTTAAAAACTTGAAAATTGTAAAATGAGTAAACATCGAGTATAGGCATAGAAAATTGGTTTCATGATGAATAAACTAATATAATAATTATTTTGTATTTCGTACTTCTATAGATCACACTGAAGCCCTTATTAATCAGATAAATGACGTACCTGCCTAGCTGCCTTAAAATCATGGGAGATGGGAGATTTTAGTTGACGAGGGTTGTTTCGTAAAAATATCTGCTAGCTCCCTAAATATAATAAACAAATAATAATAAAACAAATATATTATTAATTAAAAATTCTTTTCGATTGTTTAGCTTTTCGCGATTGTTATACATTGGAAATGTAACGTTTTTTTCAAATCTAAATTGCGTAAGTATATTTGTTGTTTGTAACTAACCAACGTTTCGGGCTATCTGCAGGCTCCATGGTCACAACTGACTAAGGTCATCAGAGTAATTTTCAGATTACTTTTACTTTACTCAATTTCGGTGGCAATCTTTTTATTTAAATATTCTTGAATATTATATAAAATAAAATAAAAATATATCGCAACCTACATTGGCTCATGGGAAGAAATTCAGCATTATCAGTAAACAACAAACTCGTAATCTACAACTCAGTCTTAAAACCCATTTGGACAAGCGGTATTCAGTTGTGGGGTGTGGCTGGCAAGAGTAATATACTTTGTCTCCAACGAGTGCAGAAGTGTATCCTGAGGGCAATAATCCATGCCCCTAGGTTCACTCGTCATGATCACCTAAACGTGTTATCGGTAGCTGCTGAGATCGATTGATATAAAACTAAGCACAAAAAGAACGTTTATCCTGCCACCGAACCCACTCATGGCGAAACTTCTAGATCCATCAACTATGGTCAAACGGCTTAAGCGAGGACATTTTCTATAGTTGGGAGGTGCGGCACTGGCCGCTCCATCAAAAATGTTTTATCTCGTGCAAAAGATTCGCTTATGGCTTGGCGGCTGATCGCAAATAAAATATTAAAAAAATTGTAGAATATTATCATACCGTATTTATTTAACCTTTTGACCGCCACTGACAAAAACTACTTGCGTTCTTTAAACGTCAAACGTATGTGGTTATGTGACACGTTATGAATTTCCACCTTTATATTAATTCAATTCAATTCCCCTAAGTCAAAGAAGAACATAACTGAACATAAAATGCAACAATGAATCCATACCTAACTAGAACATACAAATAACACAAGCAATATCTTAATATTTATTCATCAATTTCAATTGAAAATCAAAGGGTTGTATCATCGAGTATATTTTAAATATCAACCTTCGTTTGCGCTGAAATGACAAATTAGAAAGCGGAAATAGTACAGCGCCAGCGCCAACAACTGACCTGTGTGTACGTCTCCGTATATTCCAACAATATTCTGTATTTATTGTAATAAAGACAATATCTCCAACAAATGGGGGGCTGTTCCATTAGTCGGTGTGGGAAACAGCAAAACATCTATTTACAAAACAAACGGAATCACATTTCATCGGTAATTAAATATTAAATTATGTAATTTTTCAATTATCGTCCATTATAGCAAAGCTCAAGTTAAACTAGTCGATTTGAAGTGAAACATTTGTCGATATCTGTCAATTGTTTCGTATTCGGGCTGGCCAATCGGAGCGCAGTTGTGACTGTAATGATATGGCAGAAAAATTTTCAAACAAATTAAATGACATTTCGTCTCTATTTCTGGTTATATACTCGATGGGTTGTATTGGCGCTTTAAGGTGTCCGTCTTTGGCGAGTCAGAAATGTTAACGTAGGTCGATTTAAAGCGTCCATGGCGGTCAAAGGGTTAATATTCAAGTGTGGTATTCTAAAATATTATTTAACATTTCACGATAATATACTCAAATACTTAAAAGTTGCCACCGAAATTAGGTAGCGAAAACTAACCTTACGATTGCCCATCAACTATGAGTTATAATGCCTTACCTACCTTATTCTGAACTGCAGTCATTATTACTATTGATTCAAAGATCGAACGAACGAATACATAGAAAAATTCCACATTTCGGATGAGAATAAATTAACTTCATTGAAGAAATATGGATCAATGATTAAGACCTTTGTGAAGTTTCCACAATGATATATCCTATGTACCAAAATGTTCGTTAAACTGACAAGGGGTGAATATAAACTAAAATTCATCGACCTTCAAGCTTCTCCTCCCCTCCCTGTGTATACCTTAGTTATATACATTTTTTTTTATGGCGCAACCTTAAAATCCAACTTCAGCTTCGTGAGTATTTTTATTACATTATATTCGAAAAAGTAATTAATTAATATTTGGTCGTTTTAACCACTCAGTCATTTATTTACTCATTTGAAACGTCCTATTCCAACCATGCCTTATTATACTATGATATTTCCCTATAATATTTTTCAATACTTTAACTCTTGGCGTATTGTCAATTACATGTGTTACCGTTTTAGTTATGCGTAGGTACGTGGTCATACTCTTCCATCAGAGCCGTATCACATCAACAGTATTTGTAAATTAGCTGGTATTGACCGAACAATACTTTGCGATGTAATCGAGGCGATGTAGTTATGCGATATACTTGCGTCACATTTACTCGAACGTTTGTGAGATATAGCCCTTAATGTTTCATTTAATGGTAATAATTATAGTCCGTATTCCTTGATGAGCTGTCCAGCGATGACAAGCCGTTGTATTTCAGAGGTACCTTCGTATATTTCTGTGATACGTGCGTCTCTGTAGTGCCGCTCGGCCGGCATGTCCGATACGTAACCCATGCCACCTAGGATCTGTAATTGATATAAATTTCGTTGTATAATCAATTTCATGGCAGTATATTTCGATACCTCCCACGTAAGTTGTTGTAAGTCAAAATACCATTTTTTTTTTGCTTTTTAACTTAAATATATCTTTTTAAATAATTAATTAAACCTTTATTGACCAAAAATGATTACATTAAGTTGCATTTACACTATTTAACTATGTTAAATAATTCTATTATACCAGTGATTTCTCGCGGTCCGTGCACTAAGTATATGTATACTTGTATAGCAGAGACCTAGTACATGTCCAGTACTTATATTTGTCGTACACAGTTTAGTTAAAGTAGGTTCAAAGGGATAAAATAAGTGTTAATATTAAATGTTTAAATACTCGTAAGTCGACTTCATCGTCACTTTCCATCAGGTGAGATGGAGGTCAAATGGGCACTTACACTTGTATAAAAAAAGTGTTAAAAATTAATGTCGTTTTAAGTTCTATATTAAATTTAAAAGTAAAACACTTAACTGGCTAAAATGCTTACCGCGAAAAGCCAAGAGAAATAAGAAAAAAAAGTAAAGAAATCACTAGTGTTATTTACTTTTTTTTCTTATTTCTTTTGGTTTTTCGCGGTAAGCGTTTTAACCACTTACAAAGTGTTTTGACTAACTTGTTTTTAAAACGGGGAAACTTTTATATGATGGAATGTAATTTGAAACGGGATTTGAAAGTTGGAGAAAAAGTGAAAAAGGGATGAAGAATAATGAGATGTAAATAAACATGGTATAAATATAGAATAAAAGTTATATTACTTTTTATTATGTTTACTTGCAAACAAGGAACTTATATACATAAAAAAGGATGTTATTTAAGTTAAAAAGCAAAAAATGATATTTTAATTGATAGACGCTACCTTTGCCTTTGCTCCATTACCTGGCAATGGAGCAAAGGCAAAGGCAAATTGGTCAAAAGCAAAACTGTTTTGTTAAAAAAATCGTTAATTAACACACAACAAGTAGTTAAAGTGAAATTGAGATTACAGAAATAAATTTAGTAGCACATTGTATTTTGCTACGTGTACTATGCGTGGTGTTTATATATAGATGAGGTTATTGGACTATAACAAAAGATGGATGCAAGTGTGAAGAGGCACAAGTGATTGGTATAAGGTTATTCTTTTTTTTTTTCTTTTTGGCAACCACTAGGCTTGGTTTTTCGCGATTTAATTTTCGCATTTATTCGACACGAATTTCATCGCGCACACGCTGCGCGGAGACCGTGTTACCGCCGCGCAGCGCAATGGCAAAGTACGCTTTATTTATTTCGCTTTTACGTTTTAAATTAAACGAGCATCTACGCGGTTGTATTATTCAGAGGAATTGAAATGTTGTTGCCTATTAAACAGAATTCAGATTCGCAAACCGTGGTAACTAACGTTAGAGGATGGAAAAAAAATTAGCTAACTGTTGGTAAGCGCGAAAACTTTCGCGTCGTGTACCTGGGCACATAAAGTGCGTAAAGTATGAACGTTTTCTTAGTATGTACATACATACTCATTTCCCTATACCCAATGCGTATAACATATCTTATTTTACTGTTTATTTATCAAAACACTCCAAAAACAGAGGTTGACTTATATTTTTTAAATGGCTATAGTATTTAAATACGTAAAGAATTAAATACCTATAGAAACGCAACTATAACAATATTTTTACGGCAAATACTTAAGAGGTATAATTGTCGCCAATGTAGTCAAATTATAATAAACAATATGCATATTCAAATATAATCAGTACCGAGAAGTCCCGGGATTTGTAGAAGGGAATGTCCATATTATTCTTTAGTTTAGCTAAATTGACTCCCTCAATTATTTATACTTGTTTAATTATATAGCAGTACCTTGCCTGATCTCTTTTTTCACTCTTTCTCCACGTTCACAGTCCTGCTATCTTTCATTATTATGTTATTATACTGTCCTCGTAACGAAAAACGAAAAACTTTTTTTTCGTTCTGAGAGCAGTATTATTGTCTCCAAAAACTAGTTAAAAACCTTATAAGTGGCTGAAACGTTTATGCGGTAAAACCAAGAAAATAAGAAAAAAAATATTTGAAGTGGACCTGTAGTGGCGCCTCTAGCGGAAGAATGCTGCATTAACCTATAGACTTATCATACCTGTATACACTGATGAGATAGGAAAGTAGCAGCTTCAGAAGCGGCAAGCTTAGCCATAGCCGCCTCCTTAGTATAAGGTTTATTGTTGTCCTTTAACCAGGCAGCGCGCCACGTTAGCAGTCGAGCCGACTCTAATTGAGTTGCCATGTCAGCTAGTTTGTTTTGTATCGCCTGAAGTTTTGTTATTGGCTTGCCAAATGCAATGCGTTTTGATGCATATTCAATTGCTACGTCTAGAGATGCCTGTAGAAAAATTCATGTCAATTTATAAATTTACATGAATTATTATTATTATTATAATTATTATTATATTATTAGGAAATAGGAAAAGTGTACTAGAACTTTTTACTCTAATTTGCAGAGCTCATTTTGTAAACTTTTTTTAAAATTTCTAGCATGCGATCGGTTTGGTAACTGTGAACAGCTGTTTCTCGTGGTAAATGGCATGTTATGAAATTCTTCCCAGTATTGTTTTGCCTTCATCGCTCACTAGGATTTTGTAAACTAAAAATGTTATACAAGTAGTAATAAGACCACAAAAGATTATAATTTACCTGAGCAATACCCAAAGCCTGTGAAGCGATACCAATTCTTCCGGCATCCAGAGTCATCATAGCAACCTTGAATCCAAACCCAGGCTCACCCAAAATGTTATCCTTGGGTATTTCACAGTCTTCAAAAATTAAAGAACAAGTGGATGACCCTCTTATTCCCAACTTATCTTCCTTTTTTCCTAGTTCTAAGCCTTTAATAGGCTTTGGTAATACAAAAGCTGATATTCCTTTATGTTTTAAGCTTTTGTCTGTTGTGGCAAAAACAATAGCAGCTTTACTTTCATATCCATTTGTTATCCAGCATTTAGTTCCATTTAGGATCCATTTATCACCGCCATCTTTGGCTGTGGTGGAGGCGGCGCCTGCGTCAGAGCCATTGCCTGGCTCTGATAGAGCAAAGCAGCCTATTGGGTCACCTGGAAATGCAAATTTAATATGAAATTCAAATGTTTATTAGTTATAAAATTTTTTTAAGCATTTGTAGATAGAATAAAAATATTAAATGGCAATTAGACTTGACAGGTGCCAATTAGCTTAAAATTTAAGCTAATTATTGATATTACTGCAACCAACTGTTGAGCCGGCAAGGCAAAGAACAGTCCAAAGTGTGCCATGCTAAAAAATACTCCTAACTTTGTTCCAGTAGTGCCTTGTGATATAATTAATTTATATGACACATTTGAAAACCAAAAATGTATTGTATAATTTTTTCATTTAACATTTCAGCAATGGCACATTACGTACCTGTACAAAAAGGTGTTACAAAATCTTCCTTTTGCTTCTTACTGCCCCACTTCAACAGCGGGCCAAGGTAAAGAGAGTTATTTACCGACATAATAACACCAGCTGAAGCACAACCTCTAGAAATCTCTTCCAGTGCTATGGAGTATGCTAGGTAGTCTAAGCCAGTCCCGCCAAGGTCATCAGGCACTGCAATAGCCATCAAGCCAAGTTCTCCCATTTTTTTTATAGCGTCACCCGGGTATAAATGCTGCCGATCGAATTTCGCTGCATTGGGCTTCAGCTCTGCTTCCGCAAAATCCCGGCAAGTTTTGTACAGCATTTGATAAGTTTCTGGCAAAGATGCTAGAGACGCTATGCATCGTGACTGTCTGGCTGCTGTTAGACCTACAATTTTATACAACAATTTCAAAGCTTAAATTGACATCAATTGGAAATACTTTGACAAAGTTTGGGTTATAGAAATTCCTTCATGAACAAATGAAGTTTGTTCCTTACCGAATATTTGAACTGTTCTCGATACTGCGTTTAACATTTTAACTTAGAAATTAATTGAAACAAAACACTAAATAAATAAAAACTAAATTGGTGAAAATCTAGTACTTTGACCTCCGTCGTCTGTGTCGTTCAAAAATATTTTGAACACATTCAAAAAAATATACACAGTCCGTCTCTTATACTCGTCGTTTATTAGACGGAAATAGCAATAAACATTTTCTGACCAATAGGCAGGTACAAGAAAATAATGACAATCTGCTGTCAGAGAGTGAACCTCCCACGCACGCGTTGGTCTAAGTAGCAGGAAATACGTCAGTGGCTAATGCTATTTCGGTTTGCTTGTATAACGTAGACAAGGAAAGTGCATCATTTCAAGTGATGAGCTTTCGTTTAACCTCAACCGCCATCTAGTGTCAATTACTAAAATTATTAGTTTGTCCCCGAGCCCCGAACGAACATTATTTTGTCAAACAAAAACATCTCGCTAAAAATACAAAAAAATCTTTTAAAATGTTAAAATGGAGATATTGATAAGGCGCGTTTCCCCTAATACAATTAGGTTAACAGCATCTAGAATATTATTAGCTCATGTAGCTCATTATACTAGGTAAGTTTGAAATACGTTTAAATTTTTTATTATATTACGTGCATAACCTCCAAAACATACTTTAAAATTTTAGATTAGCAGAAGTGGGAAAACTCGAACAGCCAAAAACAGCAGGCAAATATGACACTGGGCAGTTGATATTACACAAAGTGTTTGGATATAGAGGTGTAATTCTTTTTCCCTGGTTGGCCCGAGTGTACGATCGTGACGCTACTAATAAGAAGGAATCTACGGATTCTAAAGGTGCTACAGATACCTCAGGAGATTCCCTGTCAAACGTCGGGAAGGAGGTCAAGGGTAGAACACATACATTTTACCAGGTCCTCATAGATACGCGAGATGCCCCTTACATAGTAAGTATTTCTTCAATATGGTAAAATTTGCATGCCTTGCTACAAGTTGCTGGATATCGAAAGCCTATTTTTAATTTTTAACATCCTAGTACCTTTAAATTATATATTAAAATATGTGTATTATATTTTATCAGACATTTAAGTACTTATGTTATTTTCTATTTGTTCTGTTGTATTATATTAATTATACTAAAAGAAATGTATGGTTTATTCTGGAATATGCATACAAACATCGACATGAGACCTGAATGGAAGAAAAAGGTATACCTACCACATTGGCTTTCATTGTCTTGTGAACTAATAAATTAACTAACATTTATTGTAAACAGTGAATTAAATGGCTTATTGTTGAGTTGGTGACTAAACTATATGTGTATTACTGTCATCTGGGAGACCAAGTCCTAGCAACTACCTAGAGTAGCCATACAAAGGTGGAATGCTGCCGGCATTTTGGGCACTGTATTATGGGGACCCAATTTCATCCATTTAATCTGGCTCTAGTCCTAAAGTTTTGATGTATTCTCTAAACTCTGTTCTAAATGCAGTGGGAATACTTGGATTCATAAATAACATCATCAATTACCAAATTGTCAGTGTGCCTTTAAATTGGACTCTTATAGAAGCACTGCAGTGGCACATCAGCCAATTGGGCAATGGTGCTTCTAAATATTATATGAAATTAGTATTGGCGCGGCTGAATCGCCACGGTGGTGCCACTGCATCACTTCTATAAGCCTCTAATTTGAAAACACCTTAATGGTACCATTTTGATACAACAGGGAAGGAGGGCTGTACACACAAATTTTCATTAAAAATTATTTGTTGATGTACTTGTTACATTTCATGCTCTTTTAATCTGTCCACTTAAAATTGTGTTATTCCCCTTAAAATTATAGCATTTTATGGAAACATTCTAATGAAATTTAAAAAAAAAAATCAAAAATGTTTAACATGAAAAGTCTTATCGAGTTCTTAGGTTTTCGCGATTGTTACACATAGGAAATGAAACTATTTTTCCGGATTTAAATCGCGTATATTTGTTTTTTCAAACAAACCGACGTTTCGGGCCCTTTACAGGTCCCATGGTCACATTTGTTTGAAAAAACAAATATACGCGATTTAAATCCGGAAAAATAGTTTCATTTCCTATATGAAAAGTCTTGTTGTAAACATTGTAATTTGTCATTAGTCCCCTTCCTTCCCAAGTATTGGTTTGTTATGCTGACACCTGAGTTTGTTCACATGTGTATTTGTAACAATCTACACATGTGATCCTAGATTTGCAACACTGTGAACAAGTTCTTTTGTCCACATTCATAATTGTGAGTAATGCAGTGTTCAAATTTTACATTATGTGTTCTATTGTTTCCTGATTCATACAGGCTTTGTAAAGGTGCAGGTTTCATTGAAAAACTTCATTATACGCTACACCTTTGGAAATCTGTCTCTAAGACATAATTATTATAAAAGTTTCATATCTTCACAAATGAAAAGCTTTTTATAAATGTGGCTATCAGCGCAAAAGTGACGTAACCCACATTAAATTCTTTTTCTACAATATTACATTAAATTATATTAAAGTATAGATAATCTGTATGGAAACTTAACCTAAATACTTACATGAATCTTATTAAATAAACTTTTTATTTACATATATGCACAGACTATTGCAAACAGTGAAATGATTTTATGTTTGTATAAAATTTTAATTAAGGTTAGTAGTGCAAGTTAATTTAGGTGAAATAAGTAAAATTGTTTACTTGTGTGTAAGGTATCCAAATCGGTGATTACAGCTTAATTAATGATTAATCAACATATTTTGTTCAATAACAATAAACATGAATACTTAATTACATTAACTAGCATCTTAACTATTATTAATTCTATGTAATTATGTAACAGCAGATATTAGTATTCCACCTAAAATATTCGAACTAGGGGACGAACAACTTTTGAGATCAGTTATTATTTTTTAGATACATTTTATAGGGTTATATTATTTCACGCTGATAGCCTCAAATATTGTTATTTGCATTACTGCGGTACAAAGACCTCGGGTTATGTTAATAAACCCACAAACCAATATCATGTTCCAAAAATACTTATGTGATAGAGCTCTACAATTTAGGAGCTAGCTTGCAATAGAAAACTCATTAACAATTATAATACAATTAACAATACAACCTGACCCCAGAGATACATAATTAAAAATGGTTGTAATAATTCTTTCAGCGAGCCCAAACTGAAGCTGTCACGTTTCTTGGCAACCAAGAGTCTAGTCGGAGTCTATATGCTATCCCAGGTTTAGATTATGTAGCTCATGACGACATTCTGCCATACACCTCTGTTGAGAGAGTGCCATTGCAACATGAGCTATTTGACAAATTCCTAATGCATAATCCTGACAAAGGTAAGAATTATGATGAAAACATTCAGTACAAACTGATGATTTTTGCTTATCATTGCCTTACTTTCTCAAACTCGTATCTTAAAGCACAAAGTTACTGAAACGTAATAAATGGATTGTATTTATAAATTTTACATTACATTTCACATAACATTTCCTTCAAATTCACACACTGGCTTTTACCTATTCTTAAAGTAATGCATCCAAATTAGCACCCTTGATAAGAAATTTAAAATAAATAGAAAGGTTTTGCAATCTACGAGTTTGAGAAAGTAAGGCATTGTTATGCATATCAACCTAATTTCTCGGTCTGAACTCAATCATGGTCATCATCATTAGCCTATTGCAGTCCACTGCTAGACATATGTCTAAGCTCAACCTAAACTAATTACACAGATCAAATAATTTCTCTGACAGTTACAGATTTCAAATAATGACATTTTAGTGCTGGCGATGTCATGGGTGGACTATGTTTGTATTAAAATTAATAACGTAAACTTTCATAGATTTCTCACAGATGACACTACGGCAAAAAGTCGTTAAAACCAAAAATAAAGAGCTGCAACAACTACATAGAGAAATTCTTAAGGTTTCCTGGTTCATTCCATAATAAGGGCATTCCCTCACCGCGAACATTCGCCTGTAATGTAACATTCAAGAATTGTTTTCGAGCATTACATTACAAACAGCATTACAGGCGAGAATGTTACATTACAGGCGAGAATGCAAGTAAAGGAGGAGGCTATCGCATGTTACAAGTGTTGCGCAACGAATGCTTGGTTATCCTCCCTCACCACTGTAATGCGCGAATTTGAACTAATATATTACAAGCGAATGCTCGTGGTGAATGAGCTCCTTAACTCAGTTGGGAGAGCGTCAGCCACGGTATGCCTATGTCGCTGGTTTTAATTTTTATTTGTGTTCGATCTTTGTATTAATAATAATAACAAACTCGTGGGCTAATTTCATAAAAAGAAATTGAATATCATGGCAGTAAATCATGGTGATATTCAATAAACTTAATATTTTAGTGGCAGTATTGCTCCTTGTGAAAGAGTTCGTCCAGGGAAGTACTGCCACCGCTGCGTTCCGGTTTTGAAGCGTGAGGGTGATGGTGAAATTAGACGCACATGGGACTTGTCAACTTATGTCTCAGGGTGGCAGTGCCCCTCAGATCTTTGCGATTTTAAGCTCTGAGTGACACTGCAACTGTTATGGACAGTGGATATTATTAAAAAAATATGAACATCATAACTACAAGGTTATACATAATATGTACAATTATGAGAATACACTGAACAATAGTATAAGTGGTGATTGAAAGTGAATCAGTGTTTGTCACGTACATGCTGTGTCAGTGTGTGTTAATCTGTATTAACTTTTTAAATGATCCAAACAAGCAAGATGTCTTCGTTTTTAATCTGTTTTTACGATTGCAAATACCTTGGAAATATTGAACAAAAACAACTCTTTATAAGTACAATAATGATAATTGTAACTGCAATGACCTTTCCGTACTAATAACTTGTAGTCAATGCCAGTTCCCTGTTTACTGTTCTCGTTTAATGAAGATTGATTTAGTTTAATTGGAGCAATCAACCATGTTTATCTTATTCTAACATTTTTTTTCGATTATGAATACGATTTTATTATCCACTTGTCGATAATCTGGCTCTTGTAGGGTCAAAGATGTTCTGGACTCGTTCAGGTTTTTGCTCAGGATCGAAAATGAAACGCTTGTTCAAGTGATTTGCTGCTGACTTCGTTTATTGATCGACATGTTCATACTTAAATACTAATTGTAGTCTCCGGACTAGTACGGGTGTCGACAAGGAGGCGATCGGCGCGGTGCGCGGGGCGCGGGGTGCGGTAACTCCGTACGACACGGGGTGCGGCGCGCAGAGTGCTCTCATGCCTGGCTCGGTGTCCTAACACTACTATATCATAATTGCAAACCATCTGCCAAAGGCGGCAGCTAAAACAAACCCTTTTTTGAGGACCTTACGCTATAGGCAGTATAGACTATATTGTAATAAACGAAATAAGGGCCATCTATTCCTGGTAACACATCAGCGATACAGCTCTTATAAATATCAACTCCCGATTGTACTGAAATATAGACAGGCCAACTACTGACCTGTGTGTACGTCTCCGTATATTCTGAATTTATTGTAATAAAGGTAATACCTTTAACAATGCCGTGCTATTCTATTCGGTGGTGTGGGAAAAACAGCAAAACATCTAATTACAAAACAAACGGAATCACAGTTCATCGGTAATTAAATATGTAATTTTGCAATTTTCGTCCATTATAGCAAAGCTGAAGTTAACTGGTCGATTTGAAGTGAAACAGTTGACGACACCCATTAACGACACCCGTCAATTGTTTCGAACTCAGGCTAGCCAATCGGAGCGCAGTTGTCACAGTAATGATATTGCAGAATAGTTTTCAAACAAATTAAATGACATTTCGTGTCTATTTCTGGTTATATACTCGATGATCCGGGTAGTCATAGTATGCAATTGGTGTGGTTGTCTGGCACATTATTGTCATTGTTATTATTATCATATTTCATTCAGAAGGTTAGGTTAGTGTTGTATAAAAGTAGCTGTCACATCTGGAAACTTTTCACTTTTTCCCAGACCGTGGCATTCACAGGTATTTCCATTCGCAGAATGTTAATAGTAGAAGATGAATGCGTAATGAAATTCCAAATAATATGATGTTATCTGATGCTCCTCATTATACATACATTGCACACAGGCTTCAAAAGTGTTGTTTAAGTCGCACCGCGCGTACAGAAGCTTATAAAATGTAGAAAATTATTGTATTTGTTACAGATCTGTTATAAATACAAATATTTGGTTTTTACGCATTTTTTGCCGTAGCGCCACTAATGAGGCATCTATTGAAGTTTTTCTTCACTCATTCAAGTACCATTACAGCTACCAGAGGCTGACAAGAGATGTCGCTTTATGAATTGTAATATTGTTACTAACCTTAAAAAAGCCATTAAAATTAAACCGGTTAATTGTAACTTTTCTATTTAAAAAAACCGACTTCAAAAGTTTGTGGAATTACATCTATTGGCCAAGTTTTATTGAAATCGGTTAACGGAAAATGCGTGCAACAGGATTCATCCCCTAGTTTGCCACCTGTCGAGGTGGAATATTTTCTTCAAATTTAAATGGGATAAATGCTGAAGCACCCTCTTTCCAACAAAAAAGAATCACCGAAATTGGTTCACAAATGCACAAAAAAGAATAGTCAAATCTAGAACCTCCTCCATTTTTTTGAAGCCGGTTAAAAACTTAAGACAGCGTTACCCTCCGTCTGAAGTTAGGTAGACTCAAAACTATTATTTTTGATTGTTCAGTAGTTTTATTTACTCTAGGTATTTATTATTATTGTAACTCACAGATCCACCGTTCATAGCCCAAGAAACGTTACGAGCGTGGCAAAAGAAGAATCATCCTTGGTTAGAACTGAGTGATGTTCATCGCGAAACGACTGAGGGTGTACGTGTTACTGTTATACCATTTTATATGGGCAGTCGGGAGTCGCAGAACTCAGCTGTTTACTGGGTAAGGTTTACTTACTAATTATGATTTTTATCTGAATATAGATTAATTAAGATATCGGCGATAACTCAGTGGGAGAACGGTTGCTTCGCAATTGAAAGGCCGACAGTTAGAATCCTTGTCTAATTTCTAAGTTTGTGTATGTGTAGTAGCAATAACTTTGGTCGACGGTTAAAAAAAAACAACGTTAAGGTTTACAACTCTTGCTAAATTCAGGCTTAGTAAAATTGTACTTAGCGGGCTAAACCTTTTCCTTAGGGGAGACACGTGTCCAGTGGGACGTATAAGGATGCTTTTCGACCGGCAGGGCAAGACGAGACGAGGCGAGGCGAAAATTGAAATCTCACCGACCTATTTCCATCAAACATTGCGAGTTTGCGATTGATATAAATAGCCGTCGCGAGCACGCGCTGTGATTGTGTATTGTGAAATATAAAATATTATAATACAACTTGCTTGATAATTTAAAAAAAATTACTGCAGCGCACTTTGCAGTTATTTGCAGAAAAGCCTTCCTTTTTTAAATCTTAAATCATACGTACTCCACAACCTCGCGATTGATACTAACATAACTAATAGCCATCATGAGTTCGCGTAGATTCTCGCGGGCCACCGCAACGTCGTGTTTTCGTTGCAGAGTGTTTGTTAAACACCCCATGTAGGCAACAATACGGCCAACAAATATTTCAATTCTTGTCTCGTACGTCCTCGTCAATACAGACCATTTCCACCATTGACTTACAAATAAATGGACGACGGGTCTAATACAAAAACCACGAAAAAAATGTCCCAAGTCAACCTATTTAACCGTAGTGACATGTAAAGGAATATGAAAAAGCTAAAACGTTGAATTTAAAATGTAATGTCGCAGTACTGTCTAATTTTGCTTGCTTCGCTGTCAGTCGAACAAACGAAGACTAAAGCGTGAATGACGCTCTGTATACGATTTTAGCGCCCTATAAGTTCGGACACTTTTTAGCGCGGATCCGGCGTCCATATAATTGTAAGTCAATGATTTCCACCGAATATGTGCTAGGTGAAAATTTGCCATTCAATTCTCGTCTCGCTTCGCCGGTGGCAAACACACCTTATGGGTAGACGATCTGAATTATGAATCATTGTAATAATAACAACCTTCTAATATATTTAAAGCTAATTTCTACTAAAGTAATTATGTACGCCTTGTCTTTCTTATGTCTCCTCTAGAGATGGAAGTGTGAGAGCCTGGCGCTAACAGGTTACTCCTATAGCACATATATAGGGTACATATAGGGTAGCACAGGTTAATCCTAGTATGAAAACCAGAGTTTCATAAACCAAACAGTCTTCAGTAACACGTGGGGACGATAGGTACATCGCACATGAGACCAAATACTGTCGTAGCTCAAAAATTGTGGAATTGAGAAATCACGATTTTCAAATAAAAAAATTGCATAAAAAATTTTTAATTCTCGTTTATATGCGAGTAACTAATTACATATATAATAATTACATATATAATAATTACATATAGCAACTAATTATTATATACAAAATAATCCCACTATTCACAATAAGATTCATTTAGTAGTATTTTTAATGTCCAAATCGTGTATTCTCAATTCCATCATTTTTGAGTTACGACAGTATTTGATCTCATGTGCGATATATAATACACTGCTGTTATGGACAGGCATGTAGCTTAACATCAGGCGCACGGCCTGTTCGTCCCGTCACGTGATATTATAAAAAAAACAAGGTTCCTAAAAAAATAAAGGCCTTTTTCATTTAGAAGTAATACTGCAACTTTTTGTTTACTAGTCACAGAACCATTTGATGTTTAATAGGAAAGTAATCTTTATTTCCAGTGGCGATATTGTATCAGATTAGAAAATCTTAGTGCGCAAGCGGTGCAACTTCGTGAGCGACATTGGCGTATATTCTCACTTAGCGGGACGTTAGAGACGGTACGCGGTCGTGGTGTGGTCGGTCAAGAACCAGTGCTGGCCCGTCACTCTCCTGCCTTTCAGTACAGCAGTCATGTTAGTTTGCAAGCGCCAAGTGGACATATGTGGTGAGTTATCATATTTTGAACATTTTAGCTTCTTGTGAAAGAGTGCGTTCAGGGAAGTACTGCCATCTTACCTATTTCTGCCGCCAAGCAGTGATGTGAGCTTTACTGCGTTCCAGTTTTGAAGTGCTGCTGGTGTAATAATTACAGGCACGTGGGACTTGTCAACTTATGTCTCAGGGTGACTGGCGCGATGACAATGTCCCTCAGATCTTTATGATTTAAAGCAGTGCAACTGTTATGGACAGGCGTGTCGCTTACCACCAGGCCCACGACTTATTCGTCCCGTCATTTGGTATCATAAAAAAAGTCTCTGGTTCGATTCCCGGTAGCACTAAGTTTTTAAATTAGTTCCGCAATGCTTGTAATTTCACCAGCATTCTTACCCTTCAAAACAGGAACGCAGTAATGCTCCCATTACTGCTTAACGGCAGAAATAGGTAAGGTGGCAGTACTTCCCTGGACGAACTCTTTTTCAAGGAGCTCTACTGCTACCTCCTCGTCTAGGGCCTAAATGTAAAATGCTGGGTCGCCGAGGACTTCAAAAATTAGAAGTCTAGAAGAATGGTTCATAATTTAGTGGTTACGCTATGTAACAAATGTTTCTGTTTCTGGTTTGAGATTATTGGTTTCTGCTTAATTGAGCCGCTAAAAGATAACAATTATAATGCTTACGCTCATAGCCCCGTACTAGGGAAACCCTGTATCGCAGGTGCCATGGCCACACACATAGACAACCATAAATTACAGCCAAACTCATGAAATAAATGTAGGCCATACAAATATTTCTCCCGGCCCGGGAATCGAACCCAGGACCTCTGCGTGGCAGGCCAGCAAGGTAACCTTACGGTCACGGAGGCAGTTTATGAGGCAGAAAAGAGTAGCTTTTGTGGCTGTCACGTAAGCAGCGGTATTTACGGAGCTGCCTAATTTACATAGCTACATAGAGGTATTTACAAAATCTAGAATTTGTAAATTCTTTGTACGTCACCTATTTGTAGAATTTTGATTGAACGGTACTATTAATTTGAAATATACCTTTTTGTCATTGAATAAAGAGAAACTCGAAAAGAAGGACGGCGAAAGCTGACTCAATAATTATAAAATCAACGAAGAGCTGTTTATGGACTTATATAATTAGTATAATTTTACGTTTATAGTTCATGCCTAGTTATCAATATATTTTTGTACATTTTTAGAAGTCGGGAATAAGGAAATTTTAAAACAATGTATTTTAGAATAGACGCAAGAACACAACACAGGCAACGTTCTTGTACGTAAGTTTCATTTTAAGCATGTTTGAATGTTTATCTACTCAAAGTATTGGTTATTTTATAGTCCATACTTAAAACATTAAAGCCATAAAATACCTAATCAAATAATCAATTAAACGTAATGACACAAACTAAAAAACAAAACGCAAGGTGACAAAAATGTTTAGACGACAATATTTAAGTGAGTGATAAGAAAGATATCAAAGGGACGTTTTGACAAGAGGCCTCTTGCCAATGTCACATTGAGATTGAGAACAGTGTAACCATTTGTGGTAGATTTCTACCATTTGGGGAGATTTAATATTTATTCATTTTTATCTGGCAGAACATGTTAACATTGTATTAAATGTGTCAGATTTTGGCAGATTTGGGAATATTCAGCAAGTTCTTTATTATTTTTGGTAACAAACTTAAAACTTATTGTTTTCTGCTACTAGAATAAATATCTGAAGCGAAATACAGGACAATGTTATAAACAAAACCTGTATCAAATTTTTTGATTCTTTGATAATGAATCACAAGTATTGATAGGTCTCTTTAATGCACGTCGTCACAAACACTAGGTCACAAAATACAAGGGACTTCGCCAGCCTTCTTTGTAGGTTTCCTTAATGATACGCAAATTCCAACTTTTCGTTGTCCTGGCCATAAAAACATACTTTTATTAGGGTAATAAACTTTGTCATGTTTTGATTTTAGAACCATTTAGAAAACAATATTGATAACTCAGAAACTAGCGTAAAAAAAAACGGATATCGCTTGTACATCTAGAGATAAAATGACACTTCGGACACCTGACATTTTGGACCGTCATTTCTCGGATTCGGAACAGCAGGGGGTCTACTCTCGATCTGCGTCCGCCATCAGTCCGAAACAATTACTGTCAAATAAGTAATATTCGACCAAGTTAAAGGACAGGTATCAAGTATGAAGCTTCATTCGCATCACGCGTCTTTTCATTTGGTCCAGTATTGCTTTGTAATTGTTTCGGAGGGAAGTCGGACGGAGATCGAGAGTAGACCCCTGATACGAATCGGATGTAGCGCGCAAACGCTCTTACGTTACGTTACGTTACGGTGTTAATTGTGCATTTGTTCCGTCCAGGGGAACGTTCAGAATGGAGCGCGAAGACGGGTACACGTTCGACTGTCGCATCCCGCCCTTCTCGCTGGAGAGCAAGCCCGACGACGCGTCGCCCACTGCGCCTGCGCAGGGAACATGACCAACATAGTCAATATTCTACGCTTCTTTGTATAGGTACCGAATTCGAACTTCAATTGTGACGTCATATTTTTTGTGACAAGGTGTACTGGAATACATCGTTGCAAATTTTTGTCTTGTTTTTGAGGCAATGTTATTTCTTATCTTAAAAATGTCGCCAATAATTCTTGAAACATTTTTGATCTTTGTATGTTGTAAATCTCAAAGAGATTTCATCATAGTTCTGCAACTAATTAAGTCAATTTGTGCATAATAATTTGTGTCATGCCATACAGCCACGCCACCTTTTTTTTCATTACGATATTACCCAGTGTAATGTACGCCTAACGTACATGATGTGCATGTATTTTTTGTGAATATACTACTTTTAGTTTAAAAGCATAAACAATTACGGTGGCGTTGCTACGGAGCATGCTTTGTTGACGCCACCTATTAATACTTGTAAATGCATTTTTGGCTATTTTTCTGAATTTAGCCAATATACAAACGCTGTGTATTAATTACGTACATATGAAAAAGTAGTAGTAAAATGATGTAGTTTTCCTATCATTCATTCATCATATGTTATGTTTGCGAAGCGCCTATCAATAATGTACGACCAAATTGTTATGCAATAGTTTGTCGAAGTGAATATGAAAGTGTTTCATTATTATAAAATATGACAATTGAAATGTAGCAGAATGAATTTACATTTCGCCTATTTTTACTATAAATGTATATAATACACTGCGTTTTTACATTGCCTAAAATCAGAAAAATAGCTAAAATTGCATTTATAAGTATTAATAATAGGCGGCGTGGCTACAAGGCATCGTCGTTAACAAAGCCACCGTAATTGTATTTTTCTTCTTTTAAACTAAAAGTAGTACATTAAAAATAAATACATGTACATCATGTTCGTTAGCCGTAAAGTGGATAATATCGTAATAAAAAAAATAGGGTGGCGTGGACAGCCATGCTACATAGGTAGCATGACACAATAACTTTATTATATTTCGAAGGGTGGTAAGTGATTTTTTTTTTCCAAATATAATCATGGACATATTTAGAGGAACGCAAAAAAATATTGAATTATTATAATGTTAATATGACCCACTGGCAGTATATACCAGTACGTTTAATTTGAAAAATAAATGATGTCAATCGCCTTTTGATTTCGATTAAACGTTCTGGTATATGTGGCCAGAACGTTTAATTTGAAAGAATAATGATGTCGTTCGAACGTTCTGGCATAAATGTAGCCAGTGGTTCATAATTCAACCTTTATGAGTTCCTCTAAATATATCCATGAGTGTATAACGTATCCAAGACGTCTTTAACGGTAAATGTTGATAATTTAGATGTCTCACTGCAGAATTTCAAAGAACTGATGTCTTGTAGTTACTACCGAAGACAAATATAGATGTGTAAACTTGTCAGTCTAAAGACAGTGTGTGGGTAGCTTTCAACATTTTTCTTAATTGACACCTTATGTCACTTAATTGACCGCCACGGCTACAAACGCATTTCTCGGTCTTGAATATTCTGTGGTGCTCTATCAAGTGTCCTAAGGCATGATGTAAATTTTTTTCCTGGGTCTGGTCTAAAGAGACGACCCACCCTGTTATGTCACAGCGGTATTGACAAACTAGTTTTATTGTAGAATCTATAGTCCAGTTAATTTGATCGTTTTCAATTACTTCTAGCGTCAAGCACAACTTGTGAGCGTTCCAAATTGACTTGATTCATACCGAATTTTATAAACTTGAGGCTTGAGTCGAGCGGCTTGACCGCTACTAAACACCCGGATTTGTATCATTTTGACTTATAATGTTTTTTTAGTTTGGACGCATTCACATAATACGTGTTGTATTAAAACGTATGTTAGTAAGGCTTTTTTACATAACATTCTATGTAACATAAATGAATTTGATTGGTGATATTCATAGCGGCCACCTTGTCACTTATTCGTATAGCTTCTAGGAATGTAAAATCTGTTTGTTCCCCTTGTGTTTATCAAAATAAATTGACATAAAGGTATGCCATAATCACATAATTTATATTATGAATTTATGGGCACAAATATAAACAAATTAAAAAGAAAATTACTTTTTAAGTATATCTCTAAATAATTTTAATTTTTTGAATGAAAGTTACAGGAGACATGTTGTACCTTTACACAAAACAGAGAATATTTTCAAATATCCGTTTCGAGAACAGAATGATGCAAAAATTATAAAACAAAAATACGCATGCATGTGCATGGAACAAATAGTTATTGCATTTAAGCTATAGAATAAAGATTTTTGACATACAAACGCGGTGATGAAAAACTGTATCTTACATTTTTTATACATAATAACACTTTAGTACTGGAACATGTGGAATGTATTGTCATGAAAATAAATGTTTTGCATCGAAAAAATTGGTAGAGGCCATTTTTTCCCTTTTTTTTCATGAACGTGATGTTGGGGTAAAATATTTTTCATGAGATCTGTCAACATCGTATGGATATATTTTAATTTTTATCTGTGAACTATTTCAATCCGTTTACGAACCACGGCTGCACAGGTATAATTAGGTACTTAGTTTTAATTATGCGTTTATAATGTACCTTATTTGGACTTCCTAGAGGTTCAAAGCGCGTTATAGACGTTCCGATTTTGTTGGCAATAGAAAGAACTGCATAAATGACAAGATGTATAGCATTATTGTCAAAATTGTCACCGCGTTTCACAAAAAAGCTATCTCACACACGTCTGTTTGGAAGTCCTGCAGTTCCCACTGATGCTTCTTTTTTATTGAAAAATTCCTCTTTTGTTGCCCAACAAATTGGAATTTCTGTAAGGCCATGTATAAAAATTACATTCTGTTGCTCAATTAAATTTTGTTAAAATTCACCATGTTGCCCTGATTTTCGCCTTTTTTGTTTGTTAGTAAAGGACAATCATGTCGATTAAAGCGGCGCATTCAATGTTCTACAATTTCAAAGTGCTATTTTAAATCGTTGCATAGATATTGTATTAACGCTTTAGTGATTGTATTGATTGACGATCATTTCGTCTATCGATCATGAAGTCTATTTCTCGAATATATAGTCAAACCTTACACGCTACGTAGACAATGTTCTTTTATATAATGCTGAGCTATTTAAATCCTGTACAAATTGATTTGTACGCGATTTTTTTGCTTCGCAGAGCAAGAACGTCGTTTGCGTAGCACTGTTAGAGTACGTTTGTTACTGGTACGTATGTCTTTTGTCAGTCAATTTTGTAAAACAGTGAATGCCGCGCTTTAGCTTTGGTGAGCAACAGAATGTTTCAGTTGCAGAATTTAAATAAAATATGACGTCACTTTTGATGAAAATTATTGTGATGAAGTGTTATTCTTTTTTGGATATTTTTAACTAGTAGACTGTAATCGCTAGTAAATTAAAGTGAGACACTGTTAAAGCTTTATTTATTGTGTTAGATAGAATATAATGATACAATTTTGTTCATTACATCCCGTTTTCTTAAGAGTTGAAATTCCTTAGACATTTTAAAATAAACAATTTAGATCTGTAATACATTGCAGTATTCTACGTCTTCTCGTTTCATTTTGACGTATCCTTATCCAAAAGAAGTGAATAGCAAAGCGACTGGAAGGGTGTATTTACATCTCGATATACATAGTGTTATTTTTTAATGGTGCAATATGGGGAAATCCGAA